CACCTGCCATGGCCTGGATTTGGTTTTGTTGGCACTCCTCGAAAAGCTTTGCTCCCCCCGCCCCCAACCGCTTTGCTTGGTCTCCTCATCCATGTAATAATGCGCATGTAATGCTTAACAATTCCGCAGATTATATAATGTAATGTGAGCTGTTGCAAAACCATGCGACCCAAAGACCCTAACTTAAGGTATATAATATTATAAAAAAAAAATATATATACCTCTCTATATATGGCAGAGAAATATGTGGGGTACATAATAAACACACACATACACATATACATATATATGTGGGTATGCCTCTGAAAGCCATCCATTAGGTGGGTGGGTGGCTGGCTGGGTGTTAGCTGGAGCTATCACTTTGCCCCAAATATCCATGTCATGTTTCGGATATTTGGAAGAGAAGGACGAGAGAGGGTCCAGAGAACGAGGGAGTGGTGACCAAATGCCTGTTCAAATATAAATGAATCCTGTTATAAATGGTCTTCTGCTTGGATGGCGGCTGGCCGCTTTCTCCCCGCCTTTACGGTCTCGCATTTCGTTAATCGACCAAAGGCCATATCATGACCAATATATTTTGGCATTTTTTGGGCATAGGTCTCTTCCTCTCTCTTTGGGGGGGACATGGCGTACTTTTGTTTCAATTTTTTTTTAAACACAACACGGCTATGGATTTTGCAAACCAAGAACGGCAACGGCAAAAAATCACTAACGTTAAGGACAAACGTGTTGGCATTACGTGAACTGAAATGAAAATTAGTTTTCCCAACAAGACCAGAGGATGCGTTACCTTCCTGTTTGTTTTGGCTGCCCCCCTGGAAAGGTGCGAGACGCCATCATCGGGGGGCTTTCGGTGTTGCTTGTAATAGATATTCAAAGGATTTAGACATCCTGTTTTGCTTTGCCTTTGCTTTCCGTTCCAAAGAAGGAAAAAAGGGTTTAAGACACAACTCCTGAAATAGATATGTTTTCTATTCTCGCGGGAGATGACCTAGAATGATGGGAGTATGGCAATCTTGGCAAATTCCTCTGCTTAACGTTACTACAAAGATTGAGGATAATGAGGGTGGCTAAAAGGAACGTGAAAAATGTCTTAATTACAAAAAAAGTTTGAAACAGATACGCTACTTATAATGGCAATTGAAAGATTTTTTTTCGGTGATACAGAATGTAATGGGAAATTTATCGAAAACGGGAAAATAAAAAACACCTTCAGAACTCAAAAACAAAAAAAAACAAAAAAAAAAAAAATAAAAAAAAATTCGCAAAAAAACTCCAATGGGATTGAGTTCAAAAGAAGTCTTTTAAACGACTACAAAAGAAGAGCAATGGAAAAAATTTATGTCTTGCAGCCCCTCAATAGAAGACCCGTAGAGTTTTTCCTTCAATAGAAGACCTCAAAAGGTCTTCAATAGAAGAGCTCGTTCAGAGGTCTTCTTCAATAGAAGAGCTCGTTCAGAGGTCTTCTTCAATAAAAGAGCTCGTGCAGAGGTCTCTTCTTCAATAGAAGAGCTCGTGCAGAGGTCTCTTCTTCAATAGAAGAGCTCGTGCAGAGGTCTCTTCTTCAATAGAAGAGCTCGTGCAGAGGTCTCTTCTTCAATAGAAGAGCTCGTGCAGAGGTCTCTTTTTCAATAGAAGAGCTCGTGCAGAGGTCTCTTCTTCAATAGAAGAGCTCGTGCAGAAGAGGTCTTCTTCAATAGAAGAGCTCTCGACGCAGAGGTCTTCTTCAATAGAAGAGGTCTTCTTCAATAGAAGAGCTCGTGCAGAAGAGGTCTTCTTCAATAGAAGAGCTCTCGACGCAGAGGTCTTCTTCAATAGAAGAGCTCTTCTTCAATAGAAGAGCTCTGGACGCAGAGGTGTCCTTCAATAGAAGAGCTCTTGACGCAGAGGTCTTCTTCAATAGAAGAGATCTTGACGCAGAGGTCTTCTTCCATAGAAGAGCTCTTGACGCAGAGGTCTTCTTTCATAGAAGAGCTCTTGACGCAGAGGTCTTCTTCAATAGAAGAGCTCTTGGCGCAGAGGTCTTCTTCAATAGAAGAGCTCTTGGCGCAGAGGTCTTCTTCAATAGAAGAGCTCTTGGCGCAGAGGTCTTCTTCAATAGAAGAGCTCTTGGCGCAGAGGTCTTCTTCAATAGAAGAGCTCTTGGCGCAGAGGTCTTCTTCAATAGAAGAGCTCTTGGCGCAGAGGTCTTCTTCAATAGAAGAGCTCTGGACACCGAGGTCTTCTACAATAGAAGAGCTCTTGGCGCAGAGGTCTTCTTCAATAGAAGAGCTCTTGGCGCAGAGGTCTTCTTCAATAGAAGAGCTCTTGGCGCAGAGGTCTTCTTCTATAGAAGAGCTCTGGACACCGAGGTCTTCTTCAATAGAAGAGCTCTTGGCGCAGAGGTCTTCTTCAATAGAAGAGCTCTTGGCGCAGAGGTCTTCTTCAATAGAAGAGCTCTGAACACCAAGGTCTTCTTCTATAGAAAAGCTCTGGACACCAGAGGTTTTCAATAAAAGAGCTTTGGACGCAGAGGTCTTCAATAGAAGACCTCTTGCGGAGCTTTTTAATAGAAGAGTACTTGCAGAGGTATTTTATAGAGGAGCTCTGGAGAGGTCTCCAGATACTCTTTATAACTCCTAATTAGAAGACCTTCTGAGGTCTCTAGTAGAAGACCTTTAGAAATCTTCAGACGAAGACCTTTGGAGGTTTTTAGTAGAAGATCCTTAAAGGTCCTCAGTTGAAGACTTTTAGAGGTCTTTAGCAGAAAACTTTTAGAGGTCTTCAATAGAAGACCTGTGAAGCTCTTTAATTGAAGACCTATAGAGGTCATCAATAGTAAAGTTGTAGAAGTCTTCAATAGAAGACCTGCAGAGGTCTTCCATAGAAGTCCTGTGAAGGTCTTAAATAGAAGACCTTCAGAGGTCTTCCATAGAAGTCCTGTGAAGGCCTTCAATAGAAGTCCTGCAGAGGTCCAAAGCTCTTTTATTGAAGACCTCTGCGTCCAAAAGCTCTATTATTGAAGACCTCTGGTGTCCAGAGCTCTTCTATAGAAGAAGACCTCGGTGTTCAGAACTCTTCTATAGAAGAAGACCTCGGTGTTCAGAGCTCTTCTATAGAAGAAGACCTCGGTGGAATCCCTTCAGTGGAATGCCTTTAAAGGTCTTCTGTGGAAGACCTTTGAGGTTTTCGGTGGAAGACCTTTGAGGTTTTCAGTAGAAGACCTTTGTAGTTTTCAGTAGAAGACCTTTGAGGCTATCATCGTTAAGGTCTTCAATGAAAGACCTTTAGGTATCGTCGGTAAAAGACCTAAGATTACCTCAGTAGAAGACATTTACAGGTCTTCAGTGGACGACTTTTTAAGGTCTTCAGTGATGACCATTAGAGGTCTTCAATAGATGATCTTCTGAGACTATCAATAGAAGACCTTCTGAAACCACTATAGGGGTTCTACTGAAAATTTCTAAACGTCTTCTACTGACCAGTAGAAGACCTCTAGAAGTCTTCGTAGAAAACCTCTAACGCTTTAGAAGTCTCTCGTAGAGAACCTTTAGAGGTCTTCCGTAGAGGACCTTTCGAGGTCTTTAGTTGAAGACCCTTAGGGGCCTTCAGTGGAAGACCTTCTAACGTCTTCACTTTTAAGGTCTTCTGTAGAACACATTTTGAAGTTTTGAGCAGAAAACCTTTAGAGGCCTTCAATAGAAGTCATGTGGAGATCTTTAATGAAAGACCTTTAAAGTTTTTCAATGGAATACGTATAGAAGTGTTCAATAGAAGACGTCTAATAAAGGCCGTTAGATCCTTTCAATAACTTGCCTGTGAGGTTATCTGAAGACCTCACAGGTCTTCAATAGAAGATTTCTCGAGAAGATATTTAGAGGATATTAGCAAATTATTTTTGACATAACAATAAGTAACTTTAGGAGTTTGCCGAAATGGCGCCCAAATGTACTTAAAGTATTTTCTTCCAAATTTTATCGTTAAGTCGTTATTTCATTTCTGTCCCACTGACTGATTAAGTTTAATTTTTTAAGCGAATACGTTGTCTGTTCAAAACACATTTGAACGGAATGACAAAAATGAGATGAAGCGGCACCTGGTGGGGAATATATGAACTAGAGAATAAGTTGCTTTGTTATGGTCGATGCCAGACTAACACCATTTGCTTAGCACTGCCAATAACCAGTTGGAGTGTTATTAAGTGGCAACTCTGTTCGTCATTGGTTCTGAGCGAATGACAAGTGGTGAGTTTTCGGAAAATAGGGATGCCAGTGTACTTTTTTATTTAAGGTATTTAAAAAAAGGGAAAATCTCCTTTTTGTTGTGAAGAGTTCTTATTACAAATGATGATGACATATAACAGATAAAAATGCGATTTTCATAGAAATGGTTCAGGAAATATTTTAGAATGGTCCATTTGACATTAAAAATCTGCCATAGGTCATTTAGGTACTCAAGATTCTGATATGGATAAAATAATTTAATGACATTCTATGGATCTCCTCCATCTCCTATTCAGGATCTACAATGCGTATATGAACTTCCAAAATGTGTTATGTACAGATACCTCTTTATTGGTCTTATATGTATAATGGTCCTTCTATGGATCTTCTGTAGACAAAAAATATTTTGAAGAGAGAAGCTTATCTATAGATAGAACACCATTTATATCGAGAGTGCAGTTTACGAGCATTCTTTAGATTAGATACTAAGTATGTAACCCCCCAATGTTAAATCTCTGAGAGGATTGTAAACATTCTCAAACGTTGTAAACATTGAGTATTAGAGAGCGTAAAGTCACATTAGGTTGGTTCGAATACAGATTAAGTGAGAAACGTTTAAATAATCCTCTCTCTTGGGGAAGTAAACGGTGAGCACAAACTGAGTTACTTGATACCCGGTCAGCTATAAATAATCAAATTTAAATGTAAATTCCAGCGCAAATTCTCCACCCCAATATTCAAAAATTCTTGAGTATTTGAATTTTCATTTCCAATTAGCTATTCTGTTCCAGCAAATAATCCAGTATTAGTTCGTATTCTCCTAAAGAAAGTGCCAGCGGGAATAGTGCAATCGATTCGCCCAGACAGTGCAATCAATTCAAACGCATCAATAAAAACAACAAAAACGATGTGCGATCAATCAAATCGAAATGGCAACAAGAATAACAACAAATCCTCAAACGCTGATATACAAATGAAAATTATAGCAACCGAAGACTGCGACAAAGTTATAAAATTCCTTTGGGAAAACTTTTTCCCCTATGCCCCTTTGGCTGGCAGTGAACCAAAATGGATACCCTCGCGAGAAGATGAAATGGTGCTGCGGGAAGGCATCACAAAACATAATTGCAGCATCGTGGCAATGAAGGAAGACCAAATAATCGGTGTGTCCATTGCTCTACCCAAAAATCGCTCCGCGGCAGATGAGTACTTTGAGGCAGCTAAAAAGGCGGGCAAAAACAAGCATGGTTACATAATGCAGCTATTAGGAGAGATAATGTGTAAAACGGACATATTCAATCGTTATGGGGTTGAGGAGACACTATATGTGTATTTGGTATCGGTGGCGCCCAATCAGCGAGGCAGGAATATTGCATACCTGATGATGAGGGAGCTAATGAGGGTGGGGAAAGAGAAGAAATTCGAAGTCTTGTCGATAGATTGCAGCAGCTATTATTGTGCTCAGGTGTGTGAACGTTTGGGCATGGAATGCCTGAGTACAGTGCCGTTTTCCGATTACTTGGATGAGAAGGGTGAAGTGATATTTAGGCCATCGCCACCACATGTTGCCATGGAAACCTATGCACAGCGATTGCAGTGAGATATTTGGAGTGGGAGAGAAACGAGGGAGAGAGGGGGGGGGGGGGGGAGATAGAGGGGAGATCCACACAATAACACATCCACAAAGATTAACTATTTTCGATAACCCATTCTCCACTACCTTCCTTCCCCATGAATTGTTGACTCGGCATCAAAGCGGATCATGTAAATCTTTTAAGATTTGTTTTCCTGTTAAAAAAAGGTGATCTGAAAAATATTTGAAAATAAAATCTACAAAATAAAATGTTTGAAATTCTTTTTCTACAAGGAGAAAAAAGTCTCCTAGACGGAGAAAAAAGTCTCCTAGACGGAGAAAACTCCAGATCTTCTAGGGGGAGAAGATCTGTGAAAGGTCCCATACGTAGAGAGTACCTATGAGAGATCTTCTAGACAGAGGAGACCTTTGTAAGGTCTTCTGGACAGAGAAGGTCTTTGAATTGTCTTCTAGGCGAAGAAACCCTCCAAAAGGCCTTATAGACGAAGAACACCTCTAAAAAGTCTTCTGGGCGGAGAAGACCTTCTAGGCGAAGAAGACCTCTAGGATGGTCTCCTTGTCGGAAAAGACCTCGAGGAGTTAGAAGAAGAAGAAGTTCTTCAAGGCTGATCTTCTAGGTGGTGAAGTCTTCCAGAAGGTCATCTAGGTGGAAAAGACCTCGACATGGTCTTCGAGATAAACAAGACCTTTAGGAAGTCTTCTAGACGACGAAAACCTGTTGGATTTCTTTAAGACGAAGAAGACCTGTTGAAGGTCTTCTGTTGCAGGTCTTCTAGACGAAGAAGACTTCTGGGATGTCTTCATGACAAAGAAGACCTTCAAAAAGGTCTTCTAGGCGGAGAAGACCACTAGGAGGTCTTCTAGGCGAAGAAGACCACTAGAAGACCTTCTTCTAGGTGAAGAAGACCACAAGGAGGTCTTCTAGGCGAAGAAGACCACTAGGAGGTCTTCTAGGCGAAGAAGACCACTAGGAGGTCTTCTAGGCGAAGAAGACCACTAGGAGGTCTTCTAGGCGAAGAAGACCACTAGGAGGTCTTCTAGGTGAAGAAGACCACTAGGAGGTCTTCTAGGTGAAGAAGACCACTAGGAGGTCTTCTAGGTGAAGAAGACCACTAGGAGGTCTTCTAGGTGAAGAAGACCACTAGGAGGTCTTCTAGGTGAAAAAGACCACTAGGAGGTCTTCTAGGTGAAGAAGACCACTAGGAGGTCTTCTAGGTGAAGAAGACCACTAGGAGGTCTTCAAGGTGAAGAAGACCACTAGGAGGTCTTCTAGGTGAAGAAGACGACTAAGAGGTCTTCTAGGCGAAGAAAACCTGTAGAAGGTCTTCTAGACGAATAAGACCTCCTGGAGGTCTTAATTCGCCTAGAAGACCTCCTGGAGGTCTTAATTCGCCTAGAAGACCTCCTGGAGGTCTTAATTCGCCTAGAAGACCTCCTGGAGGTCTTAATTCGCCTAGAAGACCTCCTGAAGGTCTTATTTCGCCTAGAAGACCTCCTGGAGGTCTTATTTCGCCTAGAAGACCTCCTGGAGGTCTTATTTCGCCCAGAAGACCTCCTGGAGGTCTTATTTCGCCTAGAAGTCCTCCTGGAGGTCTTATTTCGCCCAGAAGTCCTCCTGGAGGTCTTATTTCGCCTAGAAGTCCTCCTGGAGGTCTTATTTCGCCTAGAAGACCTCCTAGAGGTCTTATTTCGCCTAGAAGATCTCCTGGAGGTCTTATTTCGCCTAGAAGACCTCCTGGAAGTCTTATTCGCCTAGAAGACCTCCTGAAGACCTCTAGGAAGTATTTTAGACGGAGTTTACCTCTAGGAAATATACTTTACGGAGAACTCCAGGAGGTCTAGGCTACCTCTAGGAGGTCTTCCAGAAGTTATTCTAGCCGGAGATGACCTCTAGGAGGTCTTCTAGATGTAAAGACTTCCAGAAAGTTTTCTACACCGAGGAGACCTCTAAAAGTTTTCTACACCGAGCAGACCTCTAAAAGGTCTACTAGACGGAGAAGACCTCTAGAGGGCCTCTAGACCTATATAACAATTAATAAGGATTAATTTAAATATTCGCTTTTCTCCACCAAAGCCTTTATTTTTTATTTCAACTCCTAGAAGACCTCCTAGAGGTCTTATTTCGCCTAGAAGACCTCCTGGAGGTCTTATTTCGCCTAGAAGACCTCCTGGAAGTCTTATTCGCCTAGAAGACCTCCTGAAGACCTCTAGGAAGTATTTTAGACGGAGTTTACCTCTAGGAAATATACTTTACGGAGAACTCCAGGAGGTCTAGGCTACCTCTAGGAGGTCTTCCAGAAGTTATTCTAGCCGGAGATGACCTCTAGGAGGTCTTCTAGATGTAAAGACTTCCAGAAAGTTTTCTACACCGAGGAGACCTCTAAAAGTTTTCTACACCGAGCAGACCTCTAAAAGGTCTACTAGACGGAGAAGACCTCTAGAGGGCCTCTAGACCTATATAACAATTAATAAGGATTAATTTAAATATTCGCTTTTCTCCACCAAAGCCTTTATTTTTTATTTCAACCCCTAGAAAATAATTTGACATCTCAATTTAGATATTTTTCACCCCTGGAAAGCTTTAAACGGCCATGGCAATTGTAAGGCATATGTGGTGACACCCTGATGCGGTTCGGGAACAATGAAATGTGGTTTGCCATTGGCATCCACAAAATCCTTGTATTTCAACGAAACCAATTTCTCCATCTTCGGCACGTTGCTGCAGATACGATCCGAATAGTGACTGGTACAATCTGCCGTGTAGACCCTAAAACCCAAAGTGGTGGCCAAACTTACCGATTCATCGAGTAAACGTTTAGCCAGGTTCTGGCCACGCCATTTGGGATCAACCGATACCATATAAGTGAAAAATACTTCATCGACATTATAACGCCTGCAAATATCAGCCTTTTGATGTTGCAGAGCCAACATTCTCAGATAGTGGCCATATTTGGTGTTGCCTTCTTGTTCGGATGCTTGCAAGAGATCTTTTACATAAAAACGATTCTTTGGCATTGATAGTAGGCCGCCAAGAATTTCTTCATCGCCACCTTCTTCGGTATTTCGATAGCACAGGACACTGGTTCCTTGATTTACACACTCGGCTATATCCTCTTGATCCTTTTGACCGGGAATAAGTTTGGGGTTTGAACTAAAAACCGGTTCATCTCTATAGAAGTTCTTAATATAGAATTGTTGTATTTTCGCCAGATCGCTAGGTTTAATGATGCGAAATTTTAAAGCGTTTAGTGCCATAACTGAGTGGCCGTGTTGTAGTCTCCAGACAGTTTGTTGTCAAACTAAGCTGTCGCATGTCAAGCCTACTCATTTGTATAGGAGTAACTGGGGCATAAGTTTAACGATGCAGTTTTTAATGGTAACATGGCTTGTTCTGGTTATATGTTTGACCTTTTTGTTATCGCATTTTGAACCTGGCTTGCAAAACCATGTAAACGAAATAAATGTGTGTAATTTCAGGGTAGAAATAGATACGCCTTTCCCTGATATTTTTTATACCCTTCAGAGGGAGGGTATGGAGGGTATATTAATTTCGTCATTCCGTTTGTAACTCCTCGAAATAATCATGTTAGACTCAACAAAGTATATATATTCTTCATCAGCGTAAAATTCTAAGACGATTTAGCCATATCCATCTGTCTGTCTGTCCGTCTGTCTGTCCGTCTGTCTGTCTGTCTGTCCGTCTGTCTGTCTGTCTGTCTGTCTGTCCGTCTGTCTGTTTTAATCACGCAATCTTTCGAACGAATTGAGATAGAAGGCTAAAATTTTGCACACATGTATATTTTGTCAGTAGGCAGGTTAAGTTCGCAAATGGACCATTCAGGTCCACGTTATTCGGTATTTTGATGATTTTAGCGACATTATTCACCGGAATTGTTTCAAATTTGGCATTTGAAGTTCGTAATGGATACTACAGCCTAAGGCAGAAAACTATCTGTGCAGGTCCACGTCTTCGTATTACCCCCATATAACGGTACCTCCCGATATTCGGTATTTTGATGATTTTAGCGACATAATTCACCGGAATTGTTTCAAATTTGGCATTTGAAGTTCCAAATGGATGCTATAGCCTAAGACGGAAAATTGTCTTTGCAGGTTCACGTCTCCGTACAGCTCCCTCCTCCCGATATTAGGTATTTTGGTGATTTTAGCGACATTATTCGTCGGAATTGTTTCAAATTTGGTATTTGAACTTCCAAATGGATGCTATAGCCTAAGACGGAAAATTGTCTTTGCAGGTTCACGTCTTCGTATTGGCCCCATATAACAGTACCTCCCGATATTCGGTATTTTGATGATTTTAGCGACGTTATTCACCGGAATTGTTTAAAATTTGGTATTTGAAGTTCGTAATGGATGCTATAGCATATGACAGAAAATTGTCTGTGCAGGTCCACGTCTCCGTATAGCCCACATATAACGGTACCTCCCGATATTCGGTATTTTGATGATTTTAGCGTCATTATTCAACGGAATTGTTTTAAATTACGTATTTAGAGTTCGTAATGGGAACTACAGTCTGGGACAGAAAAATGTCTATTCTGGTCCAGGTCTTCGTATAGGCCCCATATATCAGTACCTCCCTATATTCGGTATTTTGACGATTTTAGGTACAATACCCACCGAAATTGTTTGAGATGTCGTATTTGAAGTTCGTAATGGATGCTACAGCCTATGACAGAAAATTGTCTATGCTGATCCAGGTCTTCGCACAGCTCTGATATAACGGTACTTCTCTATATACGGTATTTTGATGATTTTGGCGACGTTATTCACCGGATTTTGTTCAAATTTGGTATTTGAACTTCCAAATGGATGCTATAGCCTATGACAGAAAATTGTATGTGCAGGTCCACGTCTCCGTACAGCCCCCATATAACGGTACCTCCCGATATTCGGTATTTTGATGATTTTAGCGACATTATTCACCGGAATTGTTGCAAATTACGCATTTAGAGTTCGTAGTGGGAACTACAGTCTGTGACGGAAAATTGTCTGTGCAGGACCAGGTCTTCGTATTAGCCCCAAATATATCAGTACCTCCCTATATTCGGTATTTTGACGAGTTTGGGTACAATACCCACTGAAATTGTTTGAGATGTCGTATTTGAAGTTAGTAATGGATGCTACAGGGTATGACAGAAAATTGTCTATGCAGGTCCAGGTCTTCGCACGGCTCCGATATAACGCTACCTCCCTATATACGGTGTTTTGATGATTTTATTTATTTTTTTTATTTTATTTCAAGTTTCGAATTTGAATTTGGTAATGACTTATGCCAAACAATGCCTATGTAGGTAGAGCTTTGAAATTTGGTGGGGAACTTTGGATTACCTCCAAAAATATTGGTACAGCAAATCTGTCATATTGGCTCATTTTTTGGTATATATGAACCCCATGTCAGGAAAACCCCTGTTTCAAGCATTTTTTTTAAGTTTCGACAGTGTTCTCCATATAATTTCACCAAATTATGTTATTTTTAGTACGCTATTTACGCTATAATTGTATAGAAGTTTTGCCTTCTAGTTAAAGATGACCCTCCATTGTCTCTTTTCTCACTTCTACTCCATCTGTGAAGACCTTGTATTGGGAGCACATTGAACTTCCGGAAATTTACAACACAATATTGAAAATATTTATTTTCTTTTAATTTATGTTATTTCTTATATTTGGCACATCTACGGCTTACGGCTGACACTTGTTAACCCGAAAACATAATCGATTTAATGTAATCAAAAGAAACGTTTTTTTTTTTGGATTTTTACAGGTTACCATATTTGGACCAAGTGACAAAAAAAAAAAATATGAAAACCATAAAATCTTCATTAAATTGTGAATACCAGTTGAAAGAACCCACGCAATCGCGAGCAGTATTAAGAGGCATAGAGCAAGCAGCACGTCAGCAGCCATGCAGGCAGTAATTAAGGCCAAGACAAACGCCACCATAAAATAACAAAAAAAAAAAAAAAACGATTTAATAACAAACGGATTGTTGATGCCGATTTTTGGTGTAAATATTGAAGAGATTTAACAGTTTTCTATTGATTTGATGAAATTGAAGATTTTTGTTCTTTGAAAATATGAAATAAAAAATTATTTCTCTACAAAAATATATTTTAAAATTGGATTATGAGGTAAAATTGAAAATATAAATATAAAGTTAGGATATTCTACAGACGAAAATGTCAAAATTTATTACGTCTTCAAAAATTATTACTCGTCTAAATGATCATGGTCGTTAAATAGAGTACTTTTTGATTGCGCCACGATGGCGCCCAATATATACACCTACCAGCAAGAACAGCTGATCAATGTGGCAGTCGTCAAAAATGTTGTTTCTATATTAATTTTTTATTTGTATTTAATTTTTTTTCTTGTACCTCCCTCACAAACAGAAGATTTGCATCAGGGTTTTCCGGGCCTTTTGATTTTTATGAAAAAAAAAAAAAAAAAATAACTTCTTTGGTTGTTTTGGAATAAACATTTTAATAAAAAAACCAGTAAAGAAAGTCCTAAAGTCGGGCGGGGCCGACTTTATGATATCCTACAGCACTTTGCTAATTTTGTAGAGCTCCACATAACAATTAAAAGTTTTTACAGGAGAATTCATTCATACACGCTATGATTATAATTATAATTTAAAATTCAAAGGACTAAACATGACGAAGCATTTGTATCTTTTAAATTCGGACTTGTATTGACCATTTGGTGCAAAATTAATTTTATATCAGATAAAGATATATATGGGAGCTATATCCAAATCTGAACCAATTTGGCAAAGATATTTCTGAGCTGTATTTGATATATTTCCCTGAATATCGTTGTTACGTAGTGCATATTACGGCTGTGGGTAACAAATACAACAAATCGGATGATCAATATATATGGGAGATATAGCTATATCTGAACCGATCTTCACCAAATTTGGCATACTACCTTCTAGACTCAATTCGGTCGTATGTGCCAAATTCCATCCCATTTGGGCAAATATTAAACGTTTGGTGCACAATAGAAAGTAAATCGGACGAAGTTATATATGGGAGTTATATCCAAATCTGAACCGATCTCGATAAAATTTAGCAAAGGTATTTCTGAGCTGCATTTGACATATTTCCCCAAATATTGTTGTTAAAGAGTGCATATTACGGCTGCGGAGGACAAATATAACAAATCGGATGAACAATATATATGTGGGAGCTATAGCTATATATGAACCGATTTCGATCAAATTTGGCATACTTATTTTCAGGGCTAATTTGGTTGTATGTGCAAAATTCCATACTATTCGGGATGATATTACACGTTTGGTGCACAATAAAAGGTAAATCGGACGAAGATATATATGGAAGCTATATCTAAATTTTGGCCGATTATCTTCAATTTCAATAGGGCTCGCCCTTGGGCCAAACAAATGTTGTTTGGAAAATTTCATCTCAATCGGATAATAAATGCGACCTGCATTTTGTTCACAAGATGGGCAATATCGGTCAGCTTGTTGGAATGTCCAAGGTGTGCGGCCAAAATGTTTGCGTGCCCAAGGCTTTAATAAACCCTCCAGAGTATTTTCGCAATAATATTCGGCATTTTTTCTGATGCCACGGTCGATTAATAGGAGCGGAGAGCGACCATCGGCTGTTATGGCGGCCCACACCATCAACGTGGCCGGCTTAAGGCTGGAGTTCTGGTGGCCAACCGAGGGTGCACATTTTCAGCTGACCTCTTTGGTTAGTAAACACGAGCGGATCATTTTTTTTTGTTTACAAACTGCCGGACAACGTATATTTTCTCATCGGAGAAAACCAAACCAAATTCGGCAGTTCACAACTTTCGGTCAAGCGAAGCAATTCTTTAGCTCTTTTGAGTCTATTTTCTGTGTCTGTTGCGGTGTAAGTTCTTGCACTTTTTGGAATTTCAATGTCTCTACCCCGAGCTCATTTTCGCAATATTTGCCGAATGGAACATTGCGATATGTTCAGCTCACGAGCCATTTTTCGGCCACTGCGTCTGCGTGTTTCGATCAAGTCGCTTCTTTACTTTTCGAACCATTTCTGCTGATGTTGCTGTTTTCTTCCGCCCGTCTTCCTTGGCGTCGGGCTACTCTACCACGGTAACGAGCGATGGTACGAGACACAAAAGATTTATTCACATTTAAATGCTGGAGTACTCCAACGATTGCCACTTGTGGTTCTCCAGCCAAACATAAAGAAATCACACTATCACGCTTGAATTCCATCACGAATAATTTTTTTTCTGATAAATTGTCACAGAAATGCTTTTGTGCGCTTGTAAACAATATAATGAGCTGTCACTGGAATAATTTTAACAGCAGTCGAACGAGTGGCTTAGAAATGCCAGCAGTCTGAAGTTGGTTGCACCGTGGTGGCGCCCAATTAATAGATATTACAGCAGATCAACGTGCCAGCTGTTAAAAATGTTTTTTTTTTTACATTTTCATAAAATAATAATTGACACCATGAAGTAGGCCTACGCAGGTTTTTTTGTTTTTAATAAAAAAAATAAAATAACTTCTTTGAAATTTTTTTCTGATAAAGAAAAATTTATATTTCTTTTTCGTAATAAATATTTTTAAAAATAAACAACAACAAATATTTATAATTGTGTTATCTTATTAAACTAAATACATAATAACAGAGATAATAGTCATAAGTAGACAAATAAACATGTTTTTTTTATGATTTTTATGAGAGATAGCCAGCAACATGAGATGGGGCTTTTTTTTCGCTCGAATATCGAAAAAAATAATTTAAAAAGGAAAATAATTTAAATTTAAATATGAATTTTAAGGTAAATTAATTTTTATCCCAAAGTCTTATATACAATATTTTTTCTCTTTTTTCATAAAACCAATTATTTGTCTTAACCTGGTCCACCCGTATTTATATAAGCAAACCATATCATAAAAAAACCGGCAGCAAACTACAATAAACAGATTCTTTGAATCACAGTTGAGAAACTGAAAAAAAAAACGTAATTATCTAAAACAATAAAGCAAACATTAAGTTGTTCACAAAAAAGAAGAAATGAAAAAGAAAGCGAAAAACAGATGATAACAAAACAAAAATGTTCGCCATAATAATGACTACAAATATGGTATAGAGTTATGCGTTGCCTAACTTAAACCTAAGACTGATGGTATAGATATTAAATTATTTAAATTCATCTCTTGTTTTTAAATCAAAGCAGATTGTTTCGGGGATTATAGGCACCAAGGAAGGTATTACACTTGGGACAATAGTGATTACCCGTGCGACAGCTATTCATGCAATAGGGCACCACACAGGCACAGCAGCACCATCTATATGTCAGTAAAACAAAGAAAAAAATATGAAAATGTTAAAATCGGGATATTTAGATAAAAATTTAGATAAAAAAATAAATAAATATTTTCACTGGTTTTTCGACCTTTTGGATAGTTAATAAAAACAATTATTTGAGCTTGACCTCAAGCTCAAATAATTGTTTTTATTAAAAAATAAATAATGCCATCGATTGTGATTATAATCAATTGATTTATTGGAATAAATTTTTATTGGAGCTATATCTCAAGACTTATATTTTAAATTAATTTTTAGCCTGCGTCAAAAAAAAAAAAAAAACGGTCTTGTTTTTCCATTACGTTCCATATTCTGCAAGAATCTACTAAGTTTGCATTTTTTTCAATATCATAAAGAGACAAGTAAAAAAGCAGCTAAGTTCGGACGGGCCGACCTCTTAATACCCTCCACCATTTGCAAGGAACTTGAAAATTAAAAAAGAAAAAATCCGAAAAATACCGCTTAGGTGAAAACCGTAATATGGGGGCTATAAGAAGACGTGAGCGTGCATATGTAATTATCAGAGGCTTTAGTACCCATTAAGATCTCCACATACGAAATTTCAAATAACTCCCTAAAATGATCAAAATATCGAATATAGGGAGGTACCGTTGTATGGAGGCTATACGAAGACCTGGACATGCATTTACAATTTTTTGTCATAGACTGTCGTTCCCATTACGAAATTCAAAATAATTCTGGTAAAAAATGTCGCTAAAGTTATGAAAATAGCGAATATCGGCAGGTACTGTTATATGGGGCCTATACGAAGACCTGGACCTGCATAGACAGTTTTCTGTCACAGGCTGTAGTACCTACTAGGAACTTCAAATACGAATTTTTCAAACAATTTCGGTGAATATTGTCGCTAATATCATCAAAATACCGAATAAAAGGGAGGTACTGATATATGGATCCTATACGAAGATCTGGACCTGCATAGACAATTTTCTGTCATAGACTGTAGTATCCATTACGAACCAAATTTGAAACAATTTCGGTGAATAATATCATTAAAATTGTCAAAATACAGAAGATTGGGAGGTTCCGTTATATGGAGGCTATACGAAGACGTGGGTCTGCATACGAAATTTTTTGTCATATACTGTAGCACCAATTAAGATCTTCCAATACGAAATTTGAAACGATTCCGGTGAATAATGTAGCTGAAATCATGAAAATACCGAATATTGGGAGTTACCGTTATATGGGGCCTATACAAAGACCTGTTTTTTTTGGCATGGACTGTAGTACCCATTAGGAATTCTAAATACGAAATTTGAATCAACTCCGGTTAATAATGTCGCTAAAATCATCAAAATACCGAATATCGCAACCGTTCCCTTATATGGGGGCTATACAAAGACGTGGACCTGCAAAGGCAATTTTCTGTCATAGGCTGTAGTATCCATTACGAACTTCAAATACGAAATTTGAAACAATTCCAAACAAAATTTGAAATAATATAGCTAAAATCATCAAAATACCGAATATCGGGCTCTATACAAAGAGGTAGACCTGTATACGATATTTTTTGCCATAGGTTTTAGTACCTATTAAGATCTTCCAATACGAAATTTGAAACGATTCCGGTGAATAATGTTGGTGAAATCATTAAGATACGGAATATTGGGAGGTACCGTTATATGGAGGCTATACGAAGACGTGGACCTACCTACGATTTTTTTGTCATAGGCTCTAAATACGAAATTTGTAACAACTCCGGCGAATAAATCAACTCCGGCGAATAATATCATCAAAATATCGAATATCGGGTGGTACCGTTATATGGGGGTCATGCGATATTGTTGACCTATATAGACATTTTTCTTCCAGGGAGTAAAGTGCCTAAAAACAAGTTCTGGTATTGATTTTTAGACAAAAAATGGCTAAAATTATGAAAATACCGAAAATCGGTGGGTACCATTATATGGGGGATAGTCGATATCGTGAACCTGGACCTATATAGATAATTTTCTTCCAAGGAATAAAGTGCTCGGAGGGAATCCCTTGTGTGGATTTTTAGACAATTCCAATGACAAATATGGCTAAAATCATGAAAATACTGAATATAGGTAGGTACCGTTATATGGGGGATAGCCGATATCGTGGACCTGTATAGAAAATCTAGGGGAAAAAGTATTCACTAAGAACTTCTGGTGTTGAATTTCAGAAAATGCAATTTAAAAATTTGGCTACAGCCATCAATATACCGAATATCAGGGGTATCGTTATGTCGGGGCTATTCAATATCGTGGACTGATATAGCCCATTTTCGAACTTAACCTACCTGCAGATAAAAGACTAATCTCCATACTATGTATGGTGGAAGGTATAAAATAGACAAATGTCGAAGGTTGTCAAGTAAAAAATACCCAGCGTACCAAACTGTCTGAGTTCGGTCAGATGAAACTTCTGATTTCAGATGCGCATTCAATCCGGCTTCTGACCAAATGTTATATGGAGTGGTTGAAGGGTTGTCGGAAAGGAGTTCGGATGAAAGTCTGAACTTTTAGCCAACTTTCGAACCTAAGTCGGGCTAAACTCGCACGGATATTCATAGGGAAATTATCCGATCCGATTACGGATTGAACTCGGAAGTAACACTGTGTGAATTTCTAATGTTTTACCGATGTTTTAAGTGTTTTCTGTCGAATTTGGAAGAAAGGTACATTTATAACAACTGGTTAGCTAATTGCTTATCTTGAATCCATGCCATCTAGTTTTGAAATTTTTACTAGTTTTTCGTTCCTTAAAATAAAGGTTTATAATAACCACAATCGACTTCGCCATACTTACCCTACTAAACACAAAATGAAGGCACACAAATGTGTCTTAGAGTTTGGAGTATAAGCCATTCGCGAAACTTTCGAAGCTCCACATGCGGGGCATGTCACCTTCGATGGATTTGGACCCAGCTGGGCTGATAGCGGTATTGTTGATTGACCTGAAAAAAGCATAAATGAAAATGTATTTATAAAAAAGTTATTTATTTCATAATCAGAGACTTTAGGTATACCAAGAAGAGAAAATAGATTCTGCTCATCTTTGAGCGTATTTTATTCCCACTCGGAAACGAGTAACATATTCTCGTTTTTATTCGAGTGGTATAAAAAATCGAGTACAGTAAATTTCTTTCTTTACTCCCAAAAAAAAAAAAAAAAAAAACTCCCATTCAAGTTTCAGAGAGTTTCACTCAATTTTTGTATTCGAGGGAGAATATCGTAGCTCTAGTTCAAATGGGGTAAATAAAAGTACTCATTAAGTTGTAATAAAAACAAATAATAGCATACTCCACTGGAACATCTTCTAATGATATTCAGGCCAAGGTCATATTATTATAAAAAAAATGAACTTGGGCGTCCTAGAATGCCAACAGAGATTTTATTTTCCTCAAAAGATTAATACGGTTTCAAAGTATTGAAAGACTTTCTATTTTTTGTTTCTTTTGAAAGGAGAGAGACCCGTTGTGAGAATAATTATTATTACGAGAGGGATACAGCGAACTGGTCAAGAGTTTTTTGCAAGTTTTACTATTTTTATACCCTCCACAATATGGAGGGTATATTAACTTTGTCATTCCGTTTGTAACTCCTCGAAATACTCATGTCATACCCAACAAAGTATATATGTATATTCTTGATCAGATATATTATTCTAAGTCGATTTAGCTATTTCCGTCTGTCTGTCTGTCTGTCTGTCTTTTATAATCACTCTATCTTTCGAACGAATTGAGATAGAAGACTAAAATTTTGCTCACATGTTTTTTTCCAGTAGGCAGGTTAAGTTCGTAAATGGGCCATGTAGGTCCACGTCTTCGTATAGCCCCCATATAACGGTATTTTGATGATTTTAGCGACATTATTCACCGGAATATTACAGCCTAAGACTGATAATTTACTATGCAGGTCCACGTCTTCGTATAGCCTCCATATAACGGTACCTCCCAATATTCGGTACTTTGATGATTTTATCGTCATTGTTAACCGGAATTGTTTCAAATTATGTATTTAGAATTCGTAATGGGATCTACAGTCTGTGACAGAAAATTGTCTATGCAGGTCCAGGTCCCATATATCAGTACCTCCCTATATTCGGTATTTTGATGAGTTTAGGTACAATATCCACCGAAATTGTTTAAGATGTCGTATTTGAACTTCGTAATGGATGCTACAGCCTATGACAGAAAATTGTCTATGCTGGCCGAGGTCTTCGCACAGCTCCGATGTAACGGTACATCCCTATATACGATATTTTAATGATTTTAGCTACATTATTCATCGTTTATTTCAAGTTTTCGAATTTGAATATGGTAATGGCTTATGACAAACAATGCCTATGTAGGTCCACGTCGGACCCGATTCGATATTTTTAAAATTTAAACAGAAGGATTTAAGGATTTTATTTTTTTTGAAAATTTCCAAATTTGTTCCAAATGGTGGAGGGTATTCAAAGTTAGGCACGGCTGAACTTACTGCTTTTTAACTTCTTATTTAAAAGTATATCTATACGTAACGGGTTACATGATATGAAATTCTTCATAGGACTTCCATGTTTTTCTAACTTTATAGGATGATAGGACACATCCGAATGTTGCTCTGCGGTATTTTGGCCCATTCCCGGCGAAGCGCTTGCTTGAGGTGTTCGACACTTTGGTATTTTTTAGTGCCAACCTTGCTTTCCAGGTACAATAGCCCAACGGATTGGTATGCGGAGATTTTGGGGGCCTTTGTGCGCTGGAAATGAAGCGGTTATATAATGAGCTGTCACTGGAATAAATTTAACAGCTGTCGGGCGAATGACTTAGAAATGACAGCAGTCTGAAGTTGGTTACAGTTTTTTCATCTCACCCTGTAGGCGAATTGCGCAGCTATGGATTTGTGACCTGTATAAAAACTAATAATCATCATAGGGACATCAGAAATCTCGCTGATATCTTCAAGGAGTTATGGTATTCATGAGGGTCTGTGGCTTCGCTAAGAATATGAGGTTTCTGCAAGGTCTCTGTGAGTTTTTAAATGACCTGTGTGTGGTAAAGAGAACAGTGTTTTCTCTACAAACTATTGATATCTTGTGGTCTATGTAAGGATCTTACTCTAAAGAGCATTTTTCTAGAGCAAGGCTGCTGTTACATTTTTAAGAAAATATAAATATCTATTGACCCTATTAAGTTCCTGTAAAGACCTTTGTATTTTGGTATCTATGAGAAATTTATGGTCTCTATTAAAAAACTATGTTCTCCATAAAAGGCAGCCGCATCCACAAAGCATGTACCTTTGTAAATATTACAATTCTATAATAAGTTTTCGATTAGTACCGCATGGCTTTTTTCATATCCCTGCGGTTTATAGAGACAAACTACTATACCCTAATGGCAGTCAGGGCTTTGATCTACATAAATAACTTTTGAATTCTACAAAGGGCGGAGATTTATATACAGCCTATAAGGCTCTATAAGGGCCTTTGGAGACCCTTGCTATGCTTAAATATGCATCGAGATTCTTGTATTTCATATTTCGAAAATGGAACACCTGGGGTCAACGATTTAGATGAAAATATTTGAGGTTGAGGCTCCTGAAGGCTAACGCTGCAATTGTATCGTCTACAATAACATATCATAGATCATGTCTGAAGTTTTCGGTGTGGTCTTTCAGATTTCTTTTGTAATTTTAATTTTTAATTGATTGTTTGTTCACAGTTTTAAAGATCAGAAAACATGTTTAATCATGTTTATATCGCCAGTATTTTTTTCGAGGTTATTATTTATTATTACCATTCCAATCATTAATATAAATACAATTTTCAGTCACATCCAAGCCTTTCGACGTATATACTTTGAAATGAGTTTTTTCCCTTCTCTCGAGAGACTCCGCAAACGAGAATCTGCACACGTAATTATAAGCTGGAAAATTGGAACACCCCCTCTTTTCCTTCCATTCCCCACCTCTCCTCGACTACATCACAAATTGAAAATTATTTCAACAGATCAGCGTTTCACTTAACACGGTATCGGTAGTTGGTTTTTCATTTTTATTTTTGCGGTTGCTTTGCTTAGCTACTTCGGCTTAGATGTTACAACGAAAGGCAAAAAAAACAGCGTTCATTCAAGCGTAACTTTTGACCGCAAAATGCAATGAAAAATATTATTTTTTTACTTTTATTTTATTTTAAATTATTATTCTCTTCCAGAGCTGTGGAGTAAAATTTACAATGTCTGGTTATGCGGAAATCACTCCCACCATGGGAGGCCATGGAATCAGGGTAGTAATAATGTTTCACTTTCTTGACGAGCTATTAAAATAGTTTGCGAATAATAATAACGGAAAATCAATGGAAAGTAAAAGTGAAAACACAAAGACTTGAAATACGCAATAATAGAAGATGGAGTCTTGGCAAAATTCAGAAAATGAATGTGAACTGGATGAAAAAAATGCAAACATCTTATCAATATTCAAATTCGATGACTCAGTCAAAACATTTAGAATATACATCATTGGAAAATGTGTATTAAGATGTCGTCAGAAATTAGAAAAAAACTTACCTCAGTGACCCGAGGGATTTTTTTTTCTATAGAAAAAACTTGCCTCAGTGGCCTGAGAAAATTTGTTCTATAGAAAAAACTCGCTTCAGTGGCCTGAGGAATTTTTTTCTATAGAAAAAACCTGCCTCAGTGGCCTGAGGAATTTTTTTCTATAGAAAAAACTTACCTCAGTGGCCTGAGGAATTTTTTTCTATAGAAAAAACTTACCTCAGTGGCCTGAGGAATTTTTTTCTATAGAAAAAACTTACCTCAGTGGCCTGAGGAATTTTTTTCTATAGAAAAAACTTACCTCAGTGGCCTGAGGAATTTTTTTCTATAGAAAAAACTTACCTCAGTGGCCTGAGGAATTTTTTTCTATAGAAAAAACTTACCTCAGTGGCCTGAGGATTTTTTTTTCTATAGAAAAAACTTACCTCAGTGGCCTGAGGAATTTTTTTCTATAGAAAAAACTTACCTCAGTGGTCTGAGGAATTTTTTTTCTATAGAAAAAACTTACCTCAGTGGCCTGAGGAATTTTTTTTTCTATAGAAAAAACTTACCTCAGTGGCCTGAGGAATTTTTTTCTATAGAAAAAACTTACCTCAGTGGCCTGAGGAATTTTTTTCTATAGAAAAAACTTACCTCAGTGGCCTGAGGAATTTTTTTCTATAGAAAAAACTTACCTCAGTGGCCTGAGGAATTTTTTTCTATAGAAAAAACTTACCTCAGTGGCCTGAGGAATTTTTTTCTATGGAAAAAACTTGCCTCAGTGGCCTAAGGAATTTTTTTCTATGGAAAAAACTTGCCTCAGTGGCCTGAGGAATTTTTTTCTATGGAAAAAACTTGCCTCAGTGGCCTGAGGAATTTTTTTCTATGGAAAAAACTTGCCTCAGTTGCCTGAGGAATTTTTTTCTATAGAAAAAACTTACCTCAGTGTCCTGAGGAATTTTTTTCTATAGAAAAAACTTACCTCAGTGGCCTGAGGATTTTTTTTTTTCTATAGAAAAAACTTACCTCAGTGGCCTGAGGAATTTTTTTTCTATAGAAAAAACTTACCTCAGTGGCCTGAGGAATTTCTTTCTATAGAAAAAACTTACCTCAGTGGCCTGGGGAATTTTTTTCTATAGAAAAAACTTACCTCAGTGGCCTGAGGAATTTTTTTCTATAGAAAAAACTTACCTCAGTGGCCTGAGGAATTTTTTTCTATAGAAAAAACTTACCTCAGTGGCCTGAGGAATTTTTTTCTATAGAAAAAACTTACCTCAGTGGCCTGAGGAATTTTTTTCTATAGAAAAAACTTACCTCAGTGGCCTGAGGAATTTTTTTCTATAGATAAAACTTACCTCAGTGGCCTGAGGAATTTTTTTCTATAGAAAAAACTTACCTCAGTGGCCTGAGGAATTTTTTTCTATAGAAAAAACTTACCTCAGTGACCCGAGGATTTTTTTTTTATAGAAAAACATACCCCAGTGACCCGAGGATTTTTTTTTCTATAGAAAAACATACCCCAGTGACTCGAGGAATTTTTTCTATAGAAAAAACTTACCCCAGTGACTCGAGGAATTTTTTTCTATAGAAAAAACTTACACCAGTGACTCGAGGAATTTTTTCTATAGAAAAAACTTACCTCAGTGGCCTGAGGAATTTTTTTCTATAGAAAAAACTTACCTCAGTGGCCTGAGGAATTTTTTTCTATAGAAAAAACTTACCTCAGTGGCCTGAGGAATTTTTTTCTATAGAAAAAACTTACCTCAGTGGCCTGAGGAATTTTTTTCTATAGAAAAAACTTACCTCAGTGGCCTGAGGATTTTTTTTCTATAGAAAAAACTTACCTCAGTGGCCTGAGGAATTTTTTTTGTATAGAAAAAACTTGCCTCAGTGACCCTAGGAATTTTTTACTATAGAAAAAACTTGCCTCAGTGGCCCTAGGAATTTTTTCTATAGAAAAAACTTACCTTAGGCCACGGAGGAATTTTTTTCTACTTGCCTCAGATGCCTGGAATTTTTTTCTATAGAAAAAACTTTCCTCATTGGCCTGAGGAATTTTTTTCTATAGAAAAAACTTTCCTCATTGGCCTGAGGAATTTTTTTCTATAGAAAAAACTTTCCTCATTGGCCTGAGGAATTTTTTTCTATAGAGAAAACTTACCTCGGTGGCCTGAGGAATTTTTTCTGTAGAAAAAACTTGCCTGACACCTGAGAAATTTTTTTTCTACATTAAAAAGTTGCCTCGTGGATCTTGGCAACATTGTACACCTGTGCAAACCCCAAATTGCATAACTTTAGTTTTGAGCCAAAATAAAAACACGTCGAAAACCGTTAACAATTATCAAACATTAAAATTTTCCTAATGTTGTCTAGGCCAGGTCGTAATTGTCGTCGTCGTTGTTATTGTTGCTCTTCGTGGTCGGTTGCTTGGTTGGATGGTGTCGTAACACACACAGCAAAGTTTGTTGCACTTACCTGCTGCAGCAGCAGCGTTCGTGGTGCTGGGAGCAGAATCGTATGGCTGCTGGTGGGGAGTGGCGGTTGGCACAGTGGGCTGATTTGTTATTACTTGAGTTGGCGGATAGATGATTTGTTCCCCTGCCGCATGACTTGACATTGCTGGAGCTGTGGGATTTCCATAGGGAGCCTGTGGCGAAGACCAACCAATATTCTGTTGGGAAGTTTGAGGTTGGTGCTCACCAACCGCAACATCGTAGGATGGAGGAGCCTCAATGGGCAAACCAATGGCTGCAGCAGCCGAGGTGCGTTGATCTGTTGGCATTGAGTTTGGATCGGGATAAAGCATGGCGTGTTTTTGATCCATGGTCAGCAGGAAATTTTCAGAACCGGATTGATTTTTATTTTCAAAACGAGAATTCGTTGTATCGGATTAAATTGCCAAAACTTATTTTTTTGTCTGATTTTTCTTTTACTTCAAGCATCGCACAATCACTTTTGGTTTAAAAACGAAAAAAAAATACAACACGCGATCTACGTTACGATCACCTAAAACGCTTGAAAACAACTAAAGAAGCAAAGTTCGAAATTGAGTTTTCAATGCAGGTTTTTTCGGTTGCGTTTCCCCCTTGACTGTTTTGTTGTTGTAATTTACGTTTGTTTGTTAAATTCTCTGCTTGGCTTGCTCGCTTTGCTAATTGTGTTTTGTGACGTCATAAGGCAGACAAGCAACCAACCAGTCAAATAGAGATCGCTTGGAACATCTCTATTGTGGAGAAGAGAGCAGAGTTCAGACAATTAGTAACAAACTGATAAGAGTCTGCTTGCCTGGTAGATTAGACCTAGTCAATTCGGGATCTGTATCTACCTCGGATCTTTTTTGGGGATCGTCTAATTACCTTGTTATCTATGGGTTTGTATCTATGAGTAATGTTGGCAAATGAAACCTTTTGGTCCAAAACAGATAATGTTAGATACTGGAAGGGAATTTGTGAGATTTTGTTCGCAGATAAGATACAGTGGCAGTTTATGGAGATAAGTAAAGAAAAGGGAAATAAAGCAACTTTTTCTATAAAAGAGAAAAAACTTGCCTCAGTCGCCGGAGGATTTTTTCTAAAGAAAAACTTGCCTCTGTAGCCTGAGAAATTGTTTCTATAGAACAAACTTACCTCTGTGGCCTGATGAATTTTTTTATTTATTGGAAAAACTTGCTAAGGAAAAAATTTGCTTCAGGGAGCTGAGGAATTTTTTTCTATGGAAAAAACTTACCTCAGTGTCCTGAGGAATTTTTTTCTATGGCAAAAACTTGCCTCAGTGTCCTGAGGAATTTTTTTCTATGGAAAAAACTTGCCTCAGTGTCCTGAGGAATTTTTTTCTATGGATAGAACTTGCCTCAGTGTCCTGAGGAATTTTTTTCTATGGAAAAAACTTGCCTCAGTGTCCTGAGGAATTTTTTTCTATGGAAGAAACTTGCCTCAGTGTCCTGAGGAATTTTTTTCTATGGAAAAAACTTGCCTCAGTGTCCTGAGGAATTTTTTTCTATGGAAAAAACTTGCCTCAGTGTCCTGAGGAATTTTTTTCTATGGAAAAAACTTACCTCAGTGTCCTGAGGAATTTTTTTCTATGGAAAAAACTTGCCTCAGTGTCCTGAGGAATTTTTTTCTATGGAAAAAACTTTCCTCAGTGTCCTGAGGAATTTTTTTCTATGGAAAAAACATGCCTCAGTGTCCTGAGGAATTTTTTTCTATGGAAAAAACTTGCCTCAGAGTCCTGAGGAATTTTTTTCTATGGAAAAAACTTGCCTCAGTGTCCTGAGGAATTTTTTTCTATGGAAAAAACTTGCCTCAGTGTCCTGAGGAATTTTTTTCTATGGAAAAAACTTACCTCAGTGTCCTGGGGAATTTTTTTCTATGGAAAAAACTTACCTCAGTGTCCTGAGGAATTTTTTTCTATGGAAAAAACTTACCTCAGTGTCCTGAGGAATTTTTTTCTATGGAAAAAACTTACCTCAGTGTCCTGAGGAATTTTTTTCTATGGAAAAAAGTTACCTCAGTTTCCTGAGGAATTTTTTTCTATGGAAAAAACTTACCTCAGTGTCCTGAGGATTTTTTTTCTATGGAAAAAACTTACCTCAGTGTCCTGAGGAATTTTTTTCTATGGAAAAAACTTACCTCAGTGCCCTGAGGAATTTTTTTCTATGGAAAAAACTTACCTCAGTGTCCTGAGGAATTTTTTTCTATGGAAAAAACTTTCCTCAGTGTCCTGACGAATTTTTTTCTATGGAAAAAACTTACCTCAGTGTCCTGAGGATTTTTTCTCTATGGAAAAAACTTACCTCAGTGTCCTGAGGAATTTTTCTTTATGGAAAAAACTTACCTCAGTGTCCTGACGAATTTTTTTCTATGGAAAAAACTTACCTCAGTGTCCTGAGGAATTTTTCTATGGAAAAAACTTACCTCAGTGTCCTGATGAATTTTTTTCTATGGAAAAAACTTACCTCAGTGTCCTGAGGAATTTTTTTTCTATGGAAAAAACTTACCTCAGTGTCCTGAGGAATTTTTTCTATGGAAAAAACTTACCTCAGTGTCCTGAGGAATTTTTTTCTATGGAAAAAACTTACCTCAGTGTCCTGAGGAATTTTTTTCTATGGAAAAAACTTACCTCAGTGTCCTGAGGAATTTTTTTCTATGGAAAAAACTTACCTCAGTGTCCTGAGGAATTTTTTTCTATGGAAAAAACTTACCTCAGTGTCCTGAGGAATTTTTTTCTATGGAAAAAACTTACCTCAGTGTCCTGAGGAATTTTTTTCTATGGAAAAAACTTACCTCAGTGTCCTGAGGAATTTTTTTCTATGGAAAAAACTTACCTCAGTGTCCTGAGGAATTTTTATCTATGGAAAAAACTTACCTCAGTGTCCTGAGGAATTTTTTTCTATGGAAAAAACTTACCTCAGTGTCCTGAGGAATTTTTTCTATGGAAAAAACTTACCTCAGTGTCCTGAGGAATTTTTTTCTATGGAAAAAACTTACCTCAGTGTCCTGAGGAATTTTTTCTATGGAAAAAACTTACCTCAGTGTCCTGAGGAATTTTTTTCTATGGAAAAAACTTACCTCAGTGTCCTGAGGAATTTTTTTCTATGGAAAAAACTTACCTCAGTGTCCTGAGGAATTTTTTTCTATGGAAAAAACTTACCTCAGTGTCCTGAGGAATTTTTTTCTATGGAAAAAACTTACCTCAGTGTCCTGAGGAATTTTTTTCTATGGAAAAAACTTACCTCAGTGTCCTGAGGAATTTTTTTCTATGGAAAAAACTTACCTCAGTGTCCTGAGGAATTTTTTCTATGGAAAAAACTTACCTCAGTGTCCTGAGGAATTTTTTTCTATGGAAAAAACTTACCTCAGTGTCCTGAGGAATTTTTTTCTATGGAAAAAACTTACCTCAGTGTCCTGAGGAATTTTTTTCTATGGAAAAAACTTGCCTCAGTGTCCTGAGGAATTTTTTTCTATGGAAAAAACTTGCCTCAGTGTCCTGAAGAATTTTTTTCTATGGAAAAAACTTGCCTCAGTGTCCTGAAGAATTTTTTTCTATGGAAAAAACTTGCCTCAATGTCCTGAAGAATTTTTTCTATGGAAAAAACTTGCCTCAGTGTCCTGAGGAATTTTTTTTCTATGGAAAAAACTTGCCTCAGTGTCCTGGGGAATTTTTTTCTATGGAAAAAACTTACCTCAGGGGCATGAGGAATCTTTTCTATGGAAAAAACTAGCAAGTTTTTTCTATAGAAAAAAATTCCTCAGGACACTGAGGCAAGTTTTTTCTATAGAAAAAAATTCCTCAGGACACTGAGGTAAGTTTTTTCTATAGAAAAAAGTTTTTTCTATAGACAAAAAATTCCTCAGGTCCCTGAGGCAAGTTTTTTCTATAGACAAAAAATTCCTCAGGTCCCTGAGGCAAGTTTTCTCTATAGACAAAAAATTCCTCAGGTCCCTGAAGCAAGTTTTTTCTATAGAAAAAATTCCTCAGGTCCCTAAGGCAAGTTGTTTCTATAGACAAAAAATTCCTCAGGTCCCTGAGGCAAGTTTTTTCTATAGAAACAAAAATCCCCAGGTCACTGAGGCAAGTTTTTTCTACAGAAAAAAATTCCTCAGGTCACTGAGGTAAGTTTTTTCGAAAGGAAAAAATTCCTCAGATCACTGAGGTAAGTTTTTTCTAAAGGAAAAAATTCCTCAGATCGCTGAGGCAAGTTTTTTTTATAGAAAAAAATTCCTCAGGTCACTGAGGCAAGTTTTTTCTATAGAAAAAAATTCCTCGGGTCCCTGAGGCAAGTTTTTTCTATAGAAAAAAATTCCTCGGGTCCCTGAGGCAAGTTTTTTCTATAGAAAAAAATTCCTCAGGTCCTTGAGGCAGGTTTTTTCTAAAGAAAAAAATTCCTCAGTTCCCTGAGGCAAGTTTTTTCTATAGAAAAAAATTCCTCAGGTCACTGAGGACTATTGGAATGTTTTCTGTCTAGAGAAAATCCTAAGAACGTAGTCAACCTATAAAAGTCCCTTTTTTATCTGTATAAGACCCTGAATGAATCTTCTATGAACAGAATATCCTTGAGAGGTCATCCTTCTATAGAAGGACCCAGAATTGATCTTCTATCTATAGAAGATCTCCAAAAGAGACAATCAGGCAATGTTAAATAGTTTATCTGGAAGGTATTTTATTTGTAGAAGATCCTTAGGAGTCCTTCCATGTTTAGAAGACCTTCAGCAACCATTTTTGGCCTACTGTCTTTAAATGACATTTAGGTGATATTTCAAATATAGCGGACCTTAAGGAGGTCATCTGACTACATAAGTCTTTTAGAACGAATTTTATTCTAGAGGGCTATGTAGGACTTTGATTAAGCCTCCTAAATTTAGAAGACCTTAAAAATGTCTTTTCCCTATAGAGGCTTTTTAGGAGATCTCCCATCTTCAGGGGACCCTCACTAGGCCTTTCATTTAGGGAAGATATTCAAGAGATAAACACTTCTTGAAATATCTTTTACTGATGACAAATAAGAGTGATCTCTCGCTGTCCCGCCCAAAAACAAACTCGATTTTTCACTTTTTTGTAATGGACCACCCTAATATATACACATTTATTTCAAATACTTTCTTATCACGCTCTCTGATATGTTCCCAAATAACGATCACACATGCCGCAGTAATGATTCGTATCCATGCAACTGGCAATGCAGTAGGGCAGACAAACACAACAATACAACCTAGGGGGGAGAGAGAGAGTGAGAGTAAAAGAGAGATTGAGATTATGATTTATCAATGACTCATTTAGAGTTCCTCTACTCACTGCAACAAACAAAGTATCAGGGCAAACAAATGGGTACGGGAATTGGGTTTGGCACGTAGTCGGGTACGGCAAATATTGTGGCAATAGGGACACTGGACATCGACGGGCGTGGGTCCATAGACAGTGGTGGGTTCTAAGGACAGCAAAAACTTGATTTATATAAATAAAATAAAAAGTACTTCCTTTCTTATTTACGTGTTATGACCACCACATGGGGATCGCCGGCAGTTGTAGGTTGACCAGGTTGATGTGTGATGGGTTCTGCTCCAATGGCTTGATCATAGGATGGCGGTGCTGGTTTGGCCAACAAGTGTTGCTGCTGTTCCGTATGCACAACCTCCTCTAGTGGTGCTGAGGGATAGACCCGTTTATTGGCTTCGTCACTCATTATTTTCCTCTTGGCGTCTTGGAGTTTCACTTTTTATGTTTCTTTCGCCGCCACCGTAAGACAACTAAAAACACACTCCGATATAAAATTAAATAGAATTACTCTGTCGTTGTGTTGTCGTCTCTTCAATGAGTTGTTAATAGCATTTCTTATCAATTAAACAACAACAATAACAACAACAGAAAAAATATAACAAATCCTCATGGTATTTATCGATTTCGAAAAGGGAATATAAACAGAGTAAAGAAAACATTAAATGTGTGTCACAGAAAGGGGTAAGGGGCGATATGGAGGGGAGAAAGTATTGTGGTTTGTGAGTATATTAATTTTATTGATGGAATAAAATGCAGGCTCCCTCTAGGGGAGAGGGTGATGGAGTTCGTTTACTATTGACCAATAGGTGGTGCTTTACTGTTTTTTTGAGGGAAATTATTAGAAAAAAAAATTAAAATTAATTAAAAAAAATAATAAAGAATAAAAAAAATAAAATAAATTAAAATAAACAAAATAAAAAATAATAATTAATGATAAGAAATGTTAAAATAAAAAAAAAAAAACAAAATGAAAATGTATTATAAAATTGGAATAAATAATAAAAAAACTTACAAAAATAAAATAAAAACAAATAAAAAAGCTGTAAATTCGGCCGGGCCGAACTTTGAATACCCTCCACCATTTGGTACAAATTTAACAATTTTCAAAAAAATAAAATCCGTTAAAAATTCTGTTAAAATCTTAAAAATACCGAATGTAGCGATATATTAGGGTCTATACGACGACGTGGACCTGCATAGGCAACTCTTGTCACAAGCTACTGCAATAATCAAATGCGAAACTTGAAAAAGAAATCTGTTTATAATGTAGCTAAAATCATCAAAATACCGAATATAGGGAGGTACCATGGGGGTTATAAAATGTGAACTTGCACAGACAATTTTCTGTCATAGGCTGCAGTTTTCATTACGAACTTCAAATACAAAATTTGAAATAATTCCGGTAAATAATGTCGCTAAAATCATCAGAATATCGAATATCGGGGGGTAACGTTGTATGGGGGGTATACGAAGACGTGGACCTACATAGCTCATTTTCTGTCTTAGGATGTAGTATCTATTACGAACTTTAAATACCAATTTTGAAACAATTCCGGTAAATAATGTCGCTAAAATCATCAAAATACCGAATATCGGGAGGTGCCATTATATGGGGGCTATACGAAGACGTGCACCTGCACAGACAATTTTCTGTCATAGGCTGTAGGGTACATTACGAACTTCAAATGCGAAATTTGAAACAATTCTGGTGAATAATGTCTCTTAAATCATTAAGATACCGAATATCGGGGGTTCTGTTATATGGGGGCTATACGAACACGTGATCCTCCACAGACAATTTTCTATCATAGGCTGTAGTATTCATTACGAACTTCAAATATGAAATTCAAAACAATTCCGGTGAATAATGTCGCTAAAATCCTCAAAATACCGAATATCGGGAGGTTCCGTTATATGGGGGCTATGCGAAGACGTGGACCTACATAGCTCATTTTCTGTCTTAGGCTGTAGTATCCATTGCGAACTTCAAATACCAAATTGGAAGTAGTTCCGGTAAATAATGTCTCTAAAATCATCCAAATACCCTATATCGGGAGGTACTGTTATATGGGGGCTATACGAAGACGTGGACCTACGTGGTTCATTTTCTGTCTTATGATGTAGCATCCATTACGAACTTCAAATATCAAATTTGAAACAATTCCGGTAAATAATGTTGCTTAAATCATCAAAATGCCGAATATCGGGGGTTCCGTTATATGGGGGCTCTAGGAACACGTGGCCCCGCACAGACAATTTTCTGTCATAGGCTGTAGTATCCATTACGAACTTCAAATACGTAATTTGAAACAATTCCGGTAAATAATGTCGCTAAAATCATCAAAATACCCAATATCGGGAGGTACCGTTATATGGGGGCTATGCGAAGACGTAGACCTACATGGCTCATTTTCTGTCTTAGGATGTAGCATCCATTACGAACTTCAAATATCAATTTTGAAACATTTCCGGTAAATAATGTCGCTAAAATCATCAAAATACCGAATATGAGGGGGGGGGGTAATGTTATATGGGGGCTATACGAAGACGTGGACCTGCACAGACAATTTTCTGTCATAGGCTGTAGTATTTATTACGAACTTCAAATACTAAATTTGAAATAGTTTCGGTAAATAATGTCGTTAAAATCATCATAATACCGAATATCGGGAGGTACCGTTATATGGGGGCTATACGAAGACGTGGATCTACATGGCTCATTTTCTGTTTTAGGATGTAGCATCCATTACGAATTTCAAATGCGAAATTTGAAACAATTCCGGTGAATAATGTCTCTTAAATCATCAAGATACCGAATATCGGGGGTTCCGCTATATGGGGGCTATACGAACACGTGACCCTGCACAGACAATTTTCTGTCATAGGCTGTAGTATCCATTACGAACTTTAAATACGAAATTTGAAACAATTCCGGAAAATAATGTCGCTAAAATCATCAAAATACCGAATATCAGGAGGTATGCGAATGCGGGCTATACGAAGACGTGGACCTGTACAGACAATTTTCTGTCATAGGCTATAGTATCCATTACGAACCACAAATACCAAAATTGAAACAATTTCGGTGAATAATGTCGTTGAAATCGTCAAAATACCGAATATCGGGAGGTACCGTTATATACGAAGACGTCGACCTGCATAGACAATTTTCTGTCATAGGCTGTAGTATTTATTTCAAACTTCAAGTACCAAATTTGAAACAATTCCGCTAAATAATGTCGCTAAAATCATCAAAATACCGAATATCGTGAGGTACCGTTATATGGGGGCTATACGAAGACGTGGACCAACATGGCCCATTTTCAATACTAAAAGTCCTGTGGACATAACATACATTTTAGTAAAATTTTATCAACCCACTTTATTTCGTTCGGGAGCTAGAGTGATTTCCACAGACGGACGGACATTTCTAAGTCGACATAGAATTTTATGCTGATCAAGAATATATATACTTTGTGGGGTCTGAAATGTATATTTCGAGGTGTTACAAACGGAATGACAAGCTTAATATACCCTCCATACTATGGTGGAGGGTACAAAAAAAAAATAAATATAAAGTATTGTATCGTATACATATTATATGGGGTAGCGTTGCTTTTAAGTTTAAACAATGGTGGGGCGCCTGAAAGTATGCTGTAAAATCTTAAATATCAAATGTGAAAAAGTCACTTTACATATGACGTTAACATAACGTGTAATTTAGTCTTTATGTTATATTCTTCCATTGGATTTGTTAAATTGTTGACGTCTAATGTTGCCAGGTAAAGGTCCAATTTTAGGAAGCCACCATCTAAACACGCCAATCAATCTTCCTATTCCACCCCTCGATCTTTATGTTACAAATAAGCATATCATATAACAACCATAAAAATATTAAAAATTCATTATTATTTTTATTTTTTATTTACAATAAATTTTTAACACATGACTAGTTAAGGTACACTCAGACCCGGTTTTGAAAAGTCTGAAGGGGTTATTAATATTTTATTTTCTGTTACAATAAATTAAAAATAAATTGGCTTCTTTTGAGGTCCTCGTAACCATGATCAAATGTATAAAATATGTGTAGGTATGTATATTTATACATATATACATGTAGATAAGTTGTAAATGGTATAAGATTTTGAAAACTGCACAGCCCTGTCGTAAACGGCAACAAAATTTCCTCACCATAAACGAGGAACTCAGCTACAAGGCGTTACCATAGGTACCCAGGAATTTGCCACAATTTCCGCAATAATGTTGGGCATTCATACAACTGCCGGCACAGTACGGCAGACAGACACAACACCAGAGTCTAAAAGAGATGGGGAGAGGGGAAAAAAGAGGGAAACACATGAAATACATTAACAACAATGTGGAGATAAAAATACAGGCCAAAAAATAACAAAGTAAACATTGATAAGAACTACTGGTGATATGGTTATCAAGATTTTGTTGTTGTTGTTGTATCCAACCAATGTTGTCATTTTATTTTTGTCAAAATTTGTTGTTTTTCCTTTTTTTTTATTAGAATTGTAATTTGTATTTCATAACTGATAATTTTTTTCTCGAGTGTATCCTACGCAATGAGGGGACTTACCCGAACAAACATAGCAGTGCAGCCATTAAATGTGTTCTTGAACTTGGCTCATATTCAATGCGTGTCAATTTCTGAACGTGGCAAGCCGGACAGGTGATGTAGACGGGTTCGGGACCCAGTGGCAGCATGGGTTCTGTAAGAGGAAAAAAGAAAAAATATTTTTAATTGCAGATACTTATAAAGTAAATGCTACGTATTCCGGAGAATAATTGTTGACCTTTTACATCTAAAGGAAATAGACCATTCTCCGCAAAAAAATCTCATTACCACGTAATGAGTAATCTGAGGTATAATGAGCCACAACTAAGGATTTTTATAAAAATGAAACTTTCGAATGGCCATTTGGACTACAATTGTGGATTTTTATACCCTCCACCACACATAAACTGGATGGTAAATTATATATAGTTTGTTATTCCGTTCGTAACTCCTCGAAATCCGCACGAAATATATATTCTTGAACAGCATACGATTCTATGTCGATTTAGCCATGTCCGACCGTCTATAGAAATCACTCTGGCTTCCGAACGAAATGAAGTATTTTGATAAAATTGTGTGGAGATGCATTTTAGAGCGATGGAATTTTTGAAAATTGGCCATATAGGCCCAGGTTATAGTATAGGACGCCTTATTAATGTACCGTAAGATTTAATGTGATTTGGGCATTTGAGTTACAATTTTAAACCGAATTTACGGTATATTGGCAGTTTGTGTTCCCCGTATGTAGGAAACATATGCGAAGAACTGTCTATATAGGTCCAAATTTTAGTATAGACCCCATTAATCTCTACCACTGGAGTTTAAGTATTTTCAGGGATTTGTGTCACATTTTTTAACGGAAGTGTTTCAAGTTTGGTATTTGGAGTCTGTAATGGGTGCTATCTCCCATGACAGGAATTTGCCTACACAGATACACATGTTCCATATAACTGTACCTCCCTATATTCGGTATTGTGACGATTTTAGACACACCTTTCACCCGAACTATTCAAATTCGGAATTTGGAGTTTGCGGTGGGTACGGCTAAAAAAATGAAGGAATACCTGAGCTATAAAAGTGGATTTTATACCCTCCACCATAGTATGGAGGGTATATTAAGTTTGTCATTCCGCTTGTAACACCTCGAAATACACATTTTAGACCCCACAAAGTATATATTCTTAATCAGCATAAAATTCTATGTCGATTTAGCGATGTCCGTCCGTCTGTGGAAATCACTCTAGCTTCCGAACGAATTGAAGTAGATTAATAAAATTTTGCTCAAATGTATGTTATGACTGCAGGACTTTTGGTATTGAAAATGGACCATGTAGGTCCACGTTTTGGTATAGCCCACATATAACGGTACCTCCCGATATTCGAAATTTTGATGATTTTAGCGACATTATTTACCGGAATAGTTTCAAATTTGGTATTTGAAGTTCGTAATGGATTCTACAGCCTAAGACAGAAAATTGTCTGTGCAGGTCCACGTCTTCGTATAGCCCCCATATAACGTTACCCCCCGGATATTAGGTATTTTGATGATTTTAGCGACATTATTCACCGGAAATGTTTCAAATTTGGTATTTGAAGTTCGTAACGGATACTACAGCCTATGACAGGAGATTAGATGTGCAGGTTCACATCTTCGTATAGCCCCTAAATAACGGTACCTCCAGATATTCGTTATTTTCCTGATTTTAGCGACATTATTCACCGGAATTATTTTAAATTTTGTATTGGTTACTACCGCCTAAAACAGAAAATTGTCCGTGCAGGTCCACGTCTTCGTATAGCCCCAATATAGCGGTACCTCCCGATATTCGGTATTTTGATGATTCACCGATGTTTTTTTCAAGTTTCGCATTTGAATATAGTAATGGTTTATGACAAAAGTTGCCTATGCAGGTCCACGTCGTCGCATAGACCCTAATATAACGGCTACATCCGGTATTTTTAAGATTTTAACAGAATTTTTAATTTGATACGGCTAAAACGTGCCTCATCGAAATTACGGTTTTAGATTCTATGTGTCTTTGGACCAAATCTGATTCTGGACGTTTGGAGTCGATCTAGCGATGTCCGTCCGTCTGTCTGGCTGGTGCGTATATAACTCTCGAAGGGAGTATCCGATTTGGTCCAACCTTTGTACATCGTAATATTATTGTCAAACTTAGATCGAGTAGAACCTCCTCCCACAAAAGGTCGAACTTTAAAAGGAATATATTTTACTGCACATAAGGAGAAAGGATAATCCGATTTTACTCCAACTTTGCAAATCTTAATATTTGCATCAGTGCTAGGTGCGAAAATGGACAATATCGGTCGAATCCATCAATTAACTCCCCAACAAAGGGTCAAAATTTGGAATAATTATAACTCTTATAACACCCCCCACAAAAGGTCGAAATTTTGAATATCCATTAAGATCATAAAATGCGAAAGTAACACCCGATTTAATTTAGACTTGCACATCTGAATGTTTCCATCAGCACGGCATATGCCATGAGAACGGTACGGATCGGATCATTCCTAGGTCATAAAACGCGAAATAAGCATCTGGTTCTCTTTATATTCAACACATCCCATTATTTGTACTAATACAAGATCTATTGTGAAGATGGAATATATCGGCCAAAACTTGTGGTACCTCCCCCACAAAGTGTCACAAGTTTGAATATTCATGAAGCTCATAAAAACGAAATTAAAATCCTATTCTCTGAAGGGAACGACACTTCTCAATATTTCCATAAACGAAAGATTTGTAAGGAAGATGGTAGAGATGGGACCATTCAGGGTCAGAAGTTTTGAAAAACCAAAACGATCATGAAATTCGAAATAAGCATCTGGTTCTTTTCAAATTACATACATCACAATTTTTATATTAACCCTTGGGTCTGGGTTAAAATGGGATGTATCGGGCCTCTTCTTGTTGTACTACCCCCCCCCCCCCCCACCATAGATCAAAATTTTGAATATCCATGACGCTCATACAACGCGTAATTAACATCCGATTCCATTCTGACTTGGCACCTCTCAATTTTGCCATCAAAACTAGATATGGTAAAAGAATGGTAGAGATCGGACCATTTCTTCTGGTACCTCATCTACATAGGGTTCAAAATTTTTTAAAAACAAAACGCTCAACTCTCTTCGAATTCCACACATACAAACATTTTTGCTAACACAAGATCTGTTGCGAAGATGATATATATCTCCCAACCCTTGGGCAGTACCTCATCCACAAAGGGTCACAATTTTAAATGCTTTTATCTGCCATAATTTGTGAAAGAAGTCAGCGATTCTTTACAACTTCTTATATCTAAAAATGTCTCCCAACCCAAATCCTGATATGAACCTAGAATTTATCGGAATTTATGATTTCACATAACATTGGATATAAATATTTACTACCAATATTTTTATCTGTATTAAATGAAGCATGAAATCGGAATAAATCGGTCGACTATATCTGGTACCTCACGCACATTTTAACATTTTCTAAAAAGTATCACATATCTGTCCTAACCTGGCACGTCACAATATTTATATCATATTTATTGAGGTCCGATATGAAATGGACAATACTGGCCCATTCCTTCGGAACCTACTCCACAGGGGGGTAAACAATTTGAATAAACATAAAATAAGTCAAAATTTATTTAAATAATCGAACATGGGCTGAGGGGCTGTCGGCAAAACCGCTATTTTTACGATTTAGCGACATTATTCACCGGAATTTTTTTCAAATTTGGTATTTGAAGTTCGTAATGGCTAATACAGCCTAGGACAGGAGATTGGCTGTGCAGGTCCACGTCTTCGTATAGCCCTCATATAACGGTACCTCCCGATATTCGTATGTTCCTGAGCTTAGCGACATTATTCACCGGAATTGTTTTAAATTTGGTAGGTAGTACAGCCTAAACAAGAAAATTGTCTGTGCAGGTCCACGTCTTCGTATAGCCCCCTATGTGCAGGTACCTCCCCATATTCGGTATTTTCATGAATTTAGCTACATTATTCACCGATTTTTTTAAGATTTCGCATTTGAATATTGTAATGGCTTATGACAAATGTTACCTATGCAGGTCCATGTCGTCGTATAGACCCTAATATAAGAGCTACATTCGGTATTTTTAGGATTTTAACAGAATTTTTAACGGATTTTATTATTTTTGAGAATTGCCAAATTCGTTCCAAATGGTGGAGGGTATTCAAAGTTCGGCTCGGAGGAAATTACAGCTTTTTTACTTGTCAAAGCTATTTTCGTAGATTCTAGAATATTTTATGGGGATATTTAATCTTGGAATTTTTTAATAAAATTTTTGAAGGATTTTCTGAGCTATAATGTTGGATTTTAAAATAGAGCTTCTGTAGCCAATCTGGACTTTTAATATAATATTTATGAAGGCCTATATGACCTACAATTGTGGCTTTCATCAATCACATTTTTGAAAGACTATCCGAGCTATAGTCCTGGCTCTTGAAAGGTCTTCAAACCACATGAGATCTTTAAAATATCTCTTAATTTTAGGTAATCTTAAGAAGACCTCTCTGATACTTCCCAAAGATATCCACCAAAACACAATGAGTCATTCTAATTTTTTTAATATTTTGTAGATCTAAATAAAACCTCACTATCTCTTCGAACAAATGGTAATGCTAAAGGTACTGAGATAAGGAACGCATTTATCTCCACGATAATAATAATAATAATACACATGGATCTAGAAAATTCCCTTTCTCGCTTACACTCAAAGAAAAATGTAAGTTAAATTACAAATAAATCGAATAAAACTTACGTTGTATTATCACAACAGAGGCTTGACCCGGTTGTTGTTGATGGACATGGGGCTGATGGGTTGGTGGCGGCGGTGGTGGTGGCTGTACCGGTGCATAATGATAGGTGGTGGTGGAGGATGATGCCGGTGTGGTATAGGTCACATATTGGGTACTGGCCGTAATGGGTCCAGGCGCTTGACCCCACTGTGTGGATGTTGTTGTATTGTACGAAACATTATGGGTAACGGTTGTGGCAGCTGGTGCTGGAGCCGGTGCAGCACCGGTAGCCTGATCATACGATGGTGGTGGAGGATGATTCATACCCGTCGAGGGTTCATATACGGTTACACCACTCTGGGTACTGGTACCAGCTCCTTCGGGAGCACGACGAGGTCCGTTATTTAGGCCAGCAGCGTAAGAGGATTTTTCCATTAGACAAATAGGTTTTGAAGGCGAGTTAAGGTTTTTTGAATTCCGAAATATTTTGTTTTTTATTTTTTTGTTAATCTCCGAGTTATTGCTGGTCTTTGGTATCGAATTTGTTAATTTGTTTTGATTATTAATTTCTATTTAAATAGATATGTGAATATATATTTTTATTTGCTTGTTCACTTGTTCTGGTTTGGCGTTTGTTTGCCTGTTTCGTTCTCGTGATCTTTTACTCTCTGGCGTTATTCGTTTCGTACTGATTCAAAGCGCGCTGCGGTTAAAGTTTTTTTTCTGCGCTTCGACTCTTGGCCACCAACAAGCGTTGAAGTATTAATTCGACGATGAATAAGTTTATATAAACAAAAGCAATAGCAACAGCAGGGAGGTTATATGGCAGGGTTGCCATTTTTTTTTGAATAAAAATTTGTAAAATTTTTTTCGGTTTTTTATGTTGCTAGGCTATACGTTTTTATATATAAAAGAAGCATGAGAGGTCTTCCATATGTGTAGATGAACTATAGGAGGTATTTTATCTCTAGAAGTCACATATACAGGGTGAGATAAAAAAAAACCTGCAACAAAGTCAAACGCCACAATTTTTAAATTTTTTTCAAATTTTATTGAATGAAAGCAAAACTAGTAAAAAAGCTGTAAGTTCGGCCGGGCCGAACTTTGAATACCCTTAAATCATTTGGAACGAATTTGGCAATTCTCAAAAACAATAAAATCCGTTAAAACTTCTGTTAGAATTTTAAATACCGAATGTAGCTATTATATTAGGGTCTATCTATCTGTCTATAATGTAGCTAACATCATCAAAATACGGAATATATGGAGGTACCATGGTGGTTATAAAACGTGGATCTGCACATACAATTTTCTGTCATAGGCTGTAATATCCATTACGAACTTCAAATGCGAAATTTGAAACAATTCCGGTAAATAATGTCGCTAAAATAATCAAAACACCGAATATCGGGGGTACGGTATATGGGGGCTTTACGAAGACGTTGACCTGCATGGCTCATTTTCTGTCCTAGGATGTAGTATCTATTACGAACTTCAAATACCAAATTTGAAACAAATCTGGTAAAAAAATGTCGCTAGAATCATCAAAATACCGCATATCGGGAGGTACCGTTATATGGGGGCTATACTAAGACGTGGACCTACATGGCTCATTTTCTGTCTTAGGATGTAGCATCCATAACGAACTTCAAATGCGAAATTTGAAACAATTCCGGTAAATAATGTCGCTAGAATCATCAAAATACCGCATATCGGGAGTTACCGTTATATGGGGGCTATACGAAGACGTGGACCTACATAGCCCATTTTCTGTCTTCAGCCATAGCATCTGTTACGAACTTTAAATATTAATTTTGAAACAATTCCGGCAAAAAAATGTCGCTAGAATCATCAAAATACCGCATATCGGGAGGTACCCTTATATGGGGGCTATAGCAAAACGTGGACCTACATGGCCCATTTTCAATACCAAAAGTCCTGCAGACATAGTACACATTTGAGTAAAATTTTATCAACCTACTTTATTTCGTTCGGAAGCTAGAGTGATTTCCACAGACGGATAGACGGATAGAGGGGCGGACATTGATAAATCGACATAGAATTTTATGCTGATCAAGAATACATATACTTTGTGGGGTCTAAGATGTATGTTTCGAGGTGTTACAAACGGAATGACAAACTCCATACTATGGTGGAGGGTCTAAAAATGTCGGAAATAGCATCAAATTTTAGGATAAGTTTAGATTTGTTCGATTTGGTAACCTTTGGCACGTATTATGGCCTTCAAACGGCCAATGAAACCGTCACACGCTGCCCGAATGTTGCTCTGCGGTATTTTGGCCCATTCCCGGCGAAGCTCTTGCTTGAGGTGATCGACACTTTGATTTTGTTGGCCATTTTGGTGGCTGGAAATGAAGCGAGGAACCTCATTTTGTAACCATTCTAGGGTGGCGCGTGCTGAGTGCTATGGTGCTGAGTCCTGTTCGGATATCCAAGGTCTGCGGCCAAAATGTTTACGTGCCCAAGGCTTTAAAACACCTTCCGGAATATTTTCGCGATAATATTCGGCATTTATTCTGATGCCACGGTCGATTAATAAGAGCGAAGGGCGACCATCGGCTATTATGGCGGCCCGCACCATCACCATGGCTTTCGCTTGAGTTATGGTGGCCAACAGAAGGTGCACATTTTCAACTCAACTCTTTGGCAAGTAATCGCGAGCGGATCATTTTGTTTGTTTACAAACTGCTGGACAACGAATGTTTTCTCATCGAAGACGGAGAAAACCAAATTCGGCAGTTCACCACTTTCGGCCAAGCGAAGCAACTCTTTAGCTCTTCTGAGTCTATTTTCTTTTTGTTGCGGTGTAAATTCTTGCGCTTTTTGGGAATTTCAATGGTTTTATCCCGAGCTAATTTTTCAATATTTGTCGAATGGAATATTGCGATATGTTCTGCTCATGAGCCATTTTTCGGCCACTGCGACGCTTCTTTAATTTTCAGATCATTTCTGCTGATGTTGCTGTTTTCTTCCGTCCACTTTCTTGACATATGTCGGGCTACGCTACCAGTATCACAGTAACGGTCACGAACGATGGTACGAGACACAAAAGATTTATTTAGATTTAAATGCTGGAGTACTCTAACGATAGCCACTTGTGGTTCTCCAGCCAAATATAAAGAAATCACAATATCACGCTTGCATTCTATCGCGAATAACTTTTACTCTGGAAAATTCTCACCAAAACGCTTTTGGACGCTTGAAAACAATATAATGACCTATCAGTGGAATAATTTTAACAGCTGTCGGATGAGTAGCTTAGAAATCATTAATCTATAGAAATGCATTAGCAATCTTCTTCCTATAAAATATCCAAGGGAGCTAAATTTTGGGGAGATTTTTTGGCTATTCAGCAAATTTGCCGAAACATGGCAACCACGAACTTAACAAATAGCGTAACGCAATAATTTGCGTTATCAGTCGAAAGCTTTTTCACCTCAAAACAGTTGGGTGTTTTTTTGTTAACATTGAAGTCTATGACGGGGATGAATGGAGTTGGGCTGGGGAATGAGTGTCTACTTGGGGGAGAGGGTGGGTTATTTTTTCTGTATTGTTGACAGAACGAACATATGGTATGGTGAAGTGTGTGTGTTTGTGTATCATAAACCTTATTTACATGAAAATTATTCTACATGGGGGCAATTGTTGTGGACGTTGGCAAAATTTCCGAACACACACACACACAAAAAAAAAAGCTCCAATGACAAATTTTCATTTGAAAATTATTAGTGGCTGCATTCTGGCTTCTTCATGGTGTTTCATGTTTTATAATAATTTTGCAGTTATATCTTATTTAAAAATCTGTGATATATGTATCTGAGACACAGTGGTTGGGGATGGTGTAAATTTGGATATTTCTGCATAAGGGTTATGGAGGATGAAATAATTGAAGATTTGAAGGTGGGTTTCCTAAGGATATTTTTCAAGGGATTATCGGCGCTCCAAACCTGAATTTTAGGAATATTTTTCTAGGGACTATCTGAGCTATTAATGGGCATTTTTCAAGGAAATTTCAGATCTTAAAACGAAGATTTTGTTTATATTTTTGTTGAAGAATTATTTTCAAAGAATCAATTTAAATTTTTAAGAATATTTTTCAAAGGACTATCTAAACTAAAAATGGCGATTTTTAAGGATTTTTTTCAAGGTCAGATTTTTAAGAATTTTTAAGAATATTTTTCACAGGACTATCTAAGCTATCAATGGCGATTTTTAAGGATATTTTTCCAAGGACTATCTGAGCTCGAAATGTGGATTTTTTAAGAATATTTTTCAAGAAACTGTGAGAGCTACAAATATCAGATTTTCAAGGACATTTTCCAACAGACTATTAGCTAAGTTTTTTAAGAATATTTTGCAAAGGACTATCAGAACTTAAAATGTGGATTCTTAAGAATATTTTCCAAGGGTCTATAACAGCTCCGTACATGGATTTTTAGGAATATTTTTAAAAGGATTATCTGAGCTATAAATAGGGAATTTTTAAGGATGTTATTCGAAGGACTATAAGAGCTACAAACTATAATTTTAAAAATTATTTTTCCAATGACTGTCTGAACTATTAACGGATGTTTTTCAAGGAACTAACAGATTTTACAACAAGGATTTTTTTTTTAATTTTTCGTGGAACCATTAGAGTTTCAAACGTAAATTTGTTAAAGAATATTTTTCAAAGAACTATTAGTACTCCAAGTGGGAAATTTTTTAAGGATATTTTTTAATGTTAGATTTTTAAGAATTTTTTAAGAACATTTTTTAAAGGACTATCTAAACTAAAAATGGAGATTTTTAAGGATATTTTTCAAGGTCAGATTTTTAAGAATTTTTAAAAATATTTTTCAAAGGACTATCTAAGCCATCAATGGTAGTTTTTAAGAATAGTTTTTCAAGGACTATCTGAGCTCTAAATGTGGATTCTTTAAGAATATTTTTCAAGGAACAATGAGAGCTCCAAACATCAGATTTTTAAGGACAATTTCCAATGGACTATTAGCAATGTTTTTAAAAATATTTTGCAAAGGACTATCAGAGCTTTAAATGCTGATTTTAAATATATATTCCAAGGGTCTATAAAAGCTCCGTACATGGATTTTTAGGAATATTTTTAAAAGGATTATCTGAGCTATAAATAGGGATTTTTTAAGGATATTATTCGAAGGACTATAAGAGCTTCAAACTTGAATTTTAAAAATAATTTTTCCAATGACTATCTGAGCTATTAATGGATGTTTTTCAAGGAACTATTAGATTTTACAACAAGGATTTTTTTTAAATTTTTCGTGGAACCATTGGAGTTTCAAACGTAAATTTGTTAAAGAATAGTTTTCAAAGAACTATCAGTGCTCCAAGTGGGTAATTTTTTGAAGTATATTTTTAAATGTTAGATTTTAAAGAATTTTTTAAGAACATTTTTCAAAGGACTATCTAAAATAAAAATGGCGATTTTTAAGGATATTTTTCAAGGTCAGATTTTTGAGAATTTTTAAGAATATTTTTCAAAGGACTATCTAAGGTATCAGTGGCGATTTTTAAGGATATTTTCCCAAGCTGTACATTTGGATTTTTTAACAATATTCTTCAAGGAAATATCAGATTTTTAAGGACACTTTCCAACGGACTATTAGGTAAGTTTTTAAGAATATTTTTCCTAGGACTATCAGAGCTTTAAATTTCGATTTTAAGGATATTTTCCAAGGGTCTATAAGAGCCCCGTGCATGGATTTTTAGGAATATTTTTAAAAGGATTATCTGAGCTATTAATGGTGATTTCTAAAAATATTTTTTTGAAGGATTAGCAGAGCCTCAAGCGTACACTTTTTAGAAAATTCTTCAGAGGACTAGATCTTTTTCCTAGGACTATCAGAGCTTTAAATGTGGATAAGTATATTTTCTTAGAGCTCTGTACTTTGATTTTTAGGAATATTTTTAAAAGGATTATCTGAGCTATTAATGGTGATTTTCTAAGGATATTTTTCAAGCGTCGAATGTAGACTTTTTAGAAAATTATTCAAAGGACTATCTCTTATAAATGGTGATTTTTTTGGGATATTTGTCCAAGGACCATCAGAGCTAAACATTAAAATGGGAATTTTTTAGGGACATTTTTCCAAGGACAGCTTTAAACGTAGATATTTTAAAATATTTTTCAAAGGACTATCTAATCTATCAATGGGGATTTTTAAGGATATTTTCCCAAGGACTTTCAAATATCCAAACTTAGATTTTTTTGAATATTCATCAAAGGACTATCAGAGAGCTCAAACTTAGCTGCTTTTTTACTTGTTCATCTTTGGTGTTCAGCCTATAGATCATTATATCTTTAGCTAACCCATAAAGGATCTCTATACTTCGAAACCCTTAAGAGAGGACCTCTTTTGATCAGAGAACCTCATAAAGATTTTCTAGAGAAGATCTTCAAAAATATTCTTTTGCCGATTATATTCAACAGCTCTATTTCCAAACACTGTCCGGTACCATGCACTCCACAGCTCTTTTGAAATCCATCATTCATCGTCCATTCACGCTTCTCATTTGTTTATGTCGTCTATATTTAATAAGCGGTCACTGGAGGGACGGTCCTCTACAATTAAAATCATTGGAAACCGCAAAAAAATTATTAAAAAAAAGCACTCATTTCATGTCACAGAACAATTATTTGTTGCTGTTGCTGCTGATTTTTTTCTTGCTCTCCAAATATCAGAGAATTCCCGTGACTGGGTTACACAGTTTTTTCCATTAATTTTAATGAGCGGTACGTGCAGGGTCACTGCAGGCGAAAGCGAACGAATTAACGAACGAACGAAAGAAAGTGAAAATGCCAACAAAACAGGAAATCATCCAAATGATGGAGAACCATTTGCCGGGTGAACCGGTCAATGTGGCCAACGATCGCCTGCCGCCGGTTTATCCTGTCCTGCAGCCTCCGAGTCTGGCCCACGATCAGCCACCAACAGCGCCAAGGGACAATGGTATCTATACGGTTGTTCAGGCACCGATTAGTAAGTTGAGAGAATATATCCGGAATTTAGTTTATGATGTGTTTCTTTTCGGCAGATCACCCACCGGCCCAATTTGGCGCCCGACCCCATCTGGCCTATTGCCCGTCGTGCAGAACACAATTATTGACCCGTGTGGAATATCAGAGTACCATGATGACCCACATCATTGCCGCCATTCTTTGCTGTACCACGTAAGGAGGATGGATACTTTTTTGGAGATTTTGAATTTTTTTTTTTAATTCCAGATGTTCATGTTGCCTACCCTATCTCTTCGACAATTGCAAAAGTGCCAGACATTATTGCCCCGAGTGTAATAGCTATTTGGGTGCCCAGGTCAAGTGATGTGATGTCTAGAGAAGATTTTGTTGGTTAGTTCGAACCAAAAAATTATTGAGGGAAATAATTAAACTAATGGATTTAAACTGAAAAAGGTTGGTGTACGGTTTTTGGGCTTTCTAAATTTCGAATCAAAATTTTTACAAATGTTTATAAATGTATTTTTTATTTAATAAAGTCATTCGAATCTGTAAAGGGAAGATACAAATTTTTTTTCAATTGGGAAGTTTTACTTCCTCGTCATTATATTATGGCGATGAATTTTTCAAAATTATATTGAACATGTGGTCATGGTTTTAGTGTGAGCGCTTCCCAAAGATTCTTGAAAAATTTCCGATTTTTTTTTTCAGAAAGTGCTTAAAATATATTCTAAAAAATGATGATGCCTTAAGGAAGTCCTGCTAAAAATCAAGTATTTTTGGGCCATTTTTCACAAGCAGTCCTTTAAAATATGTTGTAGAAGTTCAGGATTTTTCAAAAAAAAAAAAAAAAAACCTCCTCAAAATAAACCTCTGCAAAAATCTACTTTTTTTTGGCCAGAAAATCATTGAAAATTATTATCAGAAAATTTTTTGAGATATTTTCAAAAACCGATTTCCTTAAAATCCATGATTTATTTAAAGATCTTCAGCTCTAAAATCATTTTTTTTAAGTCTTCCTGATGAAAAATTACGGGTTTTCTCAAAATAATTCTCAATGACTTTCTGACCAAAAAAAAAACTGAATTTTTTAAAGTTTAATTTTGAGGACGTTTTGTTAAAAAATATTCTAGTTTCTTTGCAAGGGCTTCCTTAAAACATCATCATTTTTTAGAGCATATTTTTAAAGACTTTCTGATAAAAAATCGTTTTCTATCAAAAATCGGTTTTCAGAGTCTTTTTGCAAAATAAGTAGCAGAAATGACACTCTATGGAGAAGGTTCCGAAGCAATGGGCCAATATTGTCCATTTCGTATCGGATCTAAATAAATATGATATAAATATTGCGAAGTGCTAGGTTTGGACTACAGGGTGAGATAAAAACAACTGCTGTTGCAAAATTGTCAGGCTTAATCCCTTTGTTGTTGTTGTTTTTTTTTAAAACAACGTTTGTTTATTAGTGGAGAACGATGGAAATGTTTACCAGGGGGTAAGGCAGGGAATACCTAGGTTTCGCAAAGAGCCACCAATCGTCATCAGTTCCCTTGTTTTATGTCTAGGATATTCTTCCCAGAAGTTATTTTAAAATTACTTCTACGACAAAAAAACATTTTTTACCCAAGTGACGAGATCGTAAGCTCAATAGCAGAGGAACTAAAGAATTAAATAAAACTAAAATTCTTTTGGAAAATCTTCTAAATCTTACAACCGCACTGATAAACGTTTACATCTTTCTCCACTTGTTATGCTTTAGTTCTACCTGAACGAGGTAGCAACTAAGTCAAACGCCATAATTTTTACATTTTTTTTCTAAATTTTATTGAATGAAAACAAAAAAATATCGAAAATAGCATTAAATTTTAGAATAAGTTTAGATTTGTTCGAATTGTTCTCCTTTGGTACGAATTATGGCCTTCAAACGGTCAATAAAACCGTCACACGTTGCCCGAATGTTGCTCTGCGGTATTTTGGCCCAATCCCGGCGAAGCGCTTGCTTGAGGTGGTCGACACTTTGGTATTTTTTAGTGCCAACCTTGCTTTCCAAGATAATCCAGACACAATAGTCCAACGGATTGGTATCCGGAGATTTTGGTGGCCATTGTGGGCTGAAAATGAAGCGGGGAAACTCATTTTGTAACCATTCTTGGGTGGCAGATGCTGAGTGCGATTATGTTGAGTCCTGTTGGAATGTCCGAGGTCTGCGGTCAAAATGTTTGCATGCCCAAGGTTTTAATAGACCCTCCAGAATATTTTCGCGATTATATTTGGCATTTATTCTGATACCACGGTCGATTCATATGAGCGGAGAGCGACCATCGGCTGTTATGGCGGTCCACACCATCATCATGGCCGGCTTGAGGCATGAGTTCTGGTGGCCCACCGAAGGTACACATTTTCAGCTGACCTCTTTGGCAAGTAAACACGAGCGGATCATTTTGTTTGTTTACAAACCGCTGGACAACGAATGTTTTCTCATCGGAGAAAACCAAATTCGGCAGTTCACCACTTTCGGCCAAGCGAAGCAACTCTTTAACTCTTTTGAATCGATTTTCTTTCTGTTGCGGTGTAAGTTCTTGCACTTTTTGGAATTTCAATGGCTTTACCCTGAGCTCATTTTTCAATATTTGCCGAATGGAATATTGCGATATGTTTAGCTCACGAGCCATTTTTCGGCCACTGCTACGCGGGTTTCGATCAAGTCGCTTCTTTACTTTTCGAACCATTTCTGTCGATGTTGCTGTTTTCTTCCGTCCATTTCCTGGACGTCGGGCTACGCTGGAGTACTTTAATGATAGCCACTTGTGGTTTTCCAGCCAAATATAAAGAAATCACACTATCACGCTTGAATTCCATCACGAATAACTTTTTTTCTGGAAAATTCTCATCAAAATGCTGTTGTACGCTTTTAAAAAAATTTAATAAACTATCAGTGAAATAATTTTAACAGCTGTCGGACGAGTGGCTTAGAAATGACAGCAGTCTGGAGTTGGGTGCAGTTTTTTCATCTCACCCTGTATACCCTCTCTAGAATATAGCTGAGGGTATAAAAAATCATAAAAAAAAAACTGATAAAACTTGAGCCTGATGCTATTCAGCAGTTTCCGGAAAAAAAAGTTTTATCAAGGAATCCTAGTTGAAATCCAAGATTTTTGAAACATAAGTCCTGAAAATAAAATATTTGCGTTTTTTTTAGCCAGTTAGTCCCCAATCGATATTTTGGCAAAAATTCGCAAAAAAACTTAAAAAAAACACAAATGTTAGCAAGTCCTTAAAAAAATAAAAACTTAAAAAATACCGTTGATAATTCATTATTTAAAAAAATCTTAACAATTTTTTTAAAACATTGACGATTTTTAGTCAGGAGATCCTTGAACAAATATTAAAAACATGATTTTTCAAAGAAAGACTTTCTAAAGGACTTCCTGAAAAAAAACTGCAGTCTAATGCATTGTGGCAATAATATATTTTTTAAGCTAGCTAAGCAAAATGAAGGATTCTTTATTCATTTAAGATTATAACTTCGAAGTCATTAAAAAAAATGGTTAGGAAATATTAAAAATATTCAAAAACGAAAAAAATAAATAAATAAATAAAAAAAGACTCTCAGTCAGGAGATCCTTGATTCAAGGATTCCTTCCAAAATCTAAGATTTCATGACCAGAAGTCCTCTATGTCGTTGCAAAAAAAATGGTATTTGGTTAGGAAATATTGAAAATAATCAGAAAAAAAAAATAATAAAATTACGATTTTCAGTCAGGAGTTCCTTCAAAAAAAAAAAAAAAAAAAAAAAAAAAAAAAAAAAAAAAAAAAAAAAAAAAAAAGCGTTCCTTAGAGATCCCCAGCTGTTGTCCTTTGTAAATATATTATTAAATATTTTTTTTTAATCTTGAATCGTTTGTTGTTTTATAACTTCCTGTTCGAAAATTTTTGATTTTTAAAAAATATATATTTTTCCGGAGACTTTCTGACAGCAACAATTTGAACCAGAAGATCCTTGAATAAAATTTCTTTAAATTTATTTTTTTCAAGGATTCTTTACAAGAATCATATTATCTTTCCCTTAAACACTTCTAAAATTTCCATAAATTTTCCAATCGCTTACAACAGTGAAAACATTTTATTTGTGGTGCTCTCAAAGCTTCTTACATACCTAAATATAAATACCAACAGCGAAAAAATCTTTTTATTTATTTCAAAAAATAATTTAAAATTAAAATCTAAAAAATCACACTTTCTATCGCTCATAGACCCCCAAGAAGGCATTGCACAGGGGGCAGTAGTGTTCGGCATTGCGGGCACAGTCGGTGCAATAGAGGCAACAGGCACAGGGGCATAGTCTGCAATGAAAAAGAAAAAGAAAGAGCAAAGGAATTTTCCAACATAACTACACATAAAGGTGTCCTGCATGTCAACTCACCCAAAGACACACAACACCAAGGCCAAGATGTGAGTCTTTGTTGTCGCCTTTTGCTCCACATTTGTCTGGATGCTTTGATTGCAGTTCGGACAGAATGCCGTTTGCGAGTCAGGACCCATCGGTGCAGCCATGCTGGTGGTAGTTGTCGAACTAAAACTGCATCATCCGGCTACAACAATACCGTTAGCATTGCATTGTCACTTCGCTGAGTTCGGCCGGAGTTGGCTGCGGTGTGATTACATTCCAAACAAAAAAAAAGTATCGAAATAGAGTTGTCGTTTATTTTTATTTGCTATTGTTGGAGGGATTGAGGGAGGGTTAGGTGTAAACCCCAACTCCTCTTTTTTTCATTAACATTGACTTATTTCCCTCTTATCTTTGCTAAAAAATCTCAGTGTCAATTTAATTACAAATGTCCGGCAATAGTTATTAGTGACCCGCAATGACAAGCATTTGTCACAGAGTTATGAATATTTAATGGAATTTTCAGAGGGAAAGTGTGAGCATGAGAGACAGAGAGAGAGAGGGAGGGCGGGAGAGAAATTGAGGGGAAATCAATAATGAAGTGACATTTTGTGTTAACAAATATGTTTTTATTTGGATGAATGTTAATAATTAATTGCTAATTGTCGGAATGTATGTTGAGAGCGTTTGACGTAGGAAACTGTGTGGCAAAAGAAGTTTCGACGTCCTTTCCATTTATCATTTTCAAGTCCATGGAAGCCATTATCCATTAAATAATAATATTGGGTTTTTTATGTTTGTGTTTGTGTTTTTTTTTTTTTTTTTTTTTTTTATGAATATGCCTTTTTTGCGGTGGGACGGAGGACACGTAAACCATACAGTATCGATGTAGGTTGAAAATGTGGTGAAATATATAGAATTACCAAAAATGGGGTGAGGGTTGTACACAGGTTGGTGGCCCTGGGTCACGAACCCCTTTGAGAATAGGAAAATAAATTTTTTGCTAGGTAACAGTCACTTTCGGCAAAATAATCCTGATACCAATCTGGGCTGTAACCGTAGATAATGGGATTTTCCGGAACCTGTTGGGGCTATATATGGAGGGTATATTAAGTTTGTCATTCCGTTTGTAGCAACTCGAAATATACATTTTAGACCCCACAGCATAAAATTCTAGTCGATTTAGTGATGCCCGTCCTTCTGTGGGAATCACGCTAGCTTCCGAACAAAACGAAAAAGGTTGATAATATTTTACTCAAAAATATATTATGTATGTCTGCAGAACTTTTGGTATTGAAAATGACCCATGTAGATCCACGTCTTCGTATATTCCCCATATAACGGTACCTCCCGATAATCGGTATTTGGATGTTTTAAGCGACATTATTCACCGGAATTGTTTCATATTTGGTATTTGAAATTCGTATTGGTAACTACAGCCTAGGACAGAAAATTGTCTGTGCAGGCCCAAGTCTTCGTATAGCCCCCATATAACGGTACCTTCCGATATTCGGTATTTTGGTGATTTAAGCGACATAAATCACCGAATCATCAAATCAATCAAATTTGGTATTTGAAGTTCGTAATGCATACTACAGACTAAGACAGAAAATTGCTTGTGCATGTCCACGTTTTGGTATAGCCCCAATATAACGGTACCTCCCGATATTCGGTATTTTGATAATTTTGGCGGCATTATTCACCGGAATTGTTTCAAATTTGGCATTTGAAATTCGTAATGGATACCACAACCTATGACAAAAATTGTCTTTAGAGGTCTACATTTTCGTATAGCTCCCATATAATGGTGGACCACGATATTCGGTATTTTGATGATTTTTGCGACATTATTTACCGGAATTGTTTCAAATTTCGCATTTGAAGTTCGTAATGGATATAACAACCTATGACAAATATTGTCTTTGGAGGTCTACTTTTTCGTATAGCTCCCATATAACGGCGGCCCCCAATATTCGGTATTTTCATGATTTTTGCGATATTATTTACCGGAATTGTTTCACATTTCGCATTTGAAGTTCGTAATGGATACTACAGTCTATGCCAGAAAATTGTCTGTGCGGTTCCACGTTTTCGTATAACCCCCATATAACGGTGCCTCCCGATATTCGCTATTTTGATGATTTTAGCGTCATTTTGTACCGGAATTATTTCAAATTTTGTATTTGAAGTTCGTAATGGATACTACTGCCTATGGCAGAAAATTGTCTGTGCAGGTCCACGTTTTATACCCCCCCAAGCTACCTCCCTATATTCGGCATTTTGGTGATTTTAGCTACATTATGATCATAGTTTTTCAAGTTTCGCATTTGAATATTGTAATAGCTTATGACAAAAGTTGCCTATGCAGGTCCACGTCGTCGTTTAGACCCTAATATACGGCTACATTCGGTATTTTTAAGGTTTAAACAGGATTTTTAACGGATTTTATTTTTTTTTTGAAAATTTCCATATTCATTCTAAATGGTGGAGGTTATTCAAAGTTCAGCCCGGCCGAATTTACTGCTTTTATATTGTTTAAGATTTCCTTGGATCTATTTAGGCTATAAGCGTGGATTTGACTTTTGACATTTTAGGGCCTTTTTCTTTAGGCCTATTTTAGTGATTTTTCTGGGCTACAATCATGGATTTTAAACCCATGTATTTTTTTCCAGAACCTATCTGGGCTATAATATTTGACTTTTTCTGGGGCTCATTTGGGGGCTCATTTTCCTGAGATTTTGTACAAACATTTTTACCTGTAGACCTGTCGGTTCTGTAATGTGAATGTGAATTCTTAAAACACTTTTTTGGACGCTAATTATGGCTAAACACGTGGATTCGGTAGGGATTTAAGTTGTGGATTATAAAAGATTTTTATCAAGCTCTATCATGTGTATAAGTTTGGATCGGTAGGCCTATAATGGCTATAATCATAATTTTTTCTTTTGGAAGGGTTATAATGCAGATCTCTCATAGGAGGTAGACTGTCGGTCTTGTATGGCTTCTAAGAAGCCTACTATAGACAGAACACCATTAGCAGGTCATCTAAAGACCTTCACCTGAATTTCCACTTATGAAGGAACTTTAACAGGTCTTCTGTAGACAGAGGACCTTTAAGCGATCTTCGAAAAATACCATTAAAAAATCTTCTATAGACAGAATACCTTCAATAAAGAAAATACCTTTTAGAAGACAGCAGAATTTTGATGTGCCGTCTATAGACAAAAAATCCGTAGACCTTCAAATGGTCTTCCAGGGAAATTAGACGTTAAGAAGTATTGTTGGAACCAGTAAAGAAAGACTTAAAGTCGGGCGGGGCTGACTTTATGATACGCTACACCACTTTGCTAATTTAGTAGAGCTCCGCATAACAATTAAAAGTTTTTATGGGAGAATTCAATCATTCACCTTATGATTATAATTATAATTTAAAGTTCAAAGGACTAAATATGCCGAAGCATTTGTATCTTTTAAATTCGGACTTGTATTGCCCATTTGGTGCGAAATTAATTTGAAATCGGATAAAGATATATATGGGAGCTATATCCAAATCGGAACCGATCTCGATCAAATTTGGTAAAGATATTTCTGAGCTGTATTTGATATAGTTCCCTGAATATCGTTGTTACGGAGTGCATATTACGGCTGCGGAGGACAAAAATAACAAATCGGATGAAAAATATATATGGGAGCTATAGCTATATTTGAACCGATCTTCACCAAATTTGACATACTAGCTTCTAGGCTCAATTCGGTCGTATGTGCCAAATTCCATGCCATTTGGGCAAATATTAGACGTTTGGTGTACTATAAAATGTAAATCGGACGAAGTTATATATGGGAGCTATATCCAAATCTGAACCGATCTCGATAAAATTTAGCAAATGTATTTCTGAGCTGTATTTGATATATTTCCCCAAATATTGTTGTTACAGAGTGCATATTAAGGCCGCGGAGGACAAAAATAACAAATCGGATGAACAATATATATGGGAGCTATAGCTATATCTGAACCGATTTCGATCAAATTTGGCATAACTATTTTCAGGTCCAATCTGATCGTACGTGCAAAATTCCATACTATTCGGACTGATATTACAGGTTTGGTGCACAATAAAAGACAAATCGGACGAAGATATATATGGGAGCTACATCTAAATTTTGACCGATTATCTCCAATTTCAATAGGGTTCGTCCTTGGCCCAAACAAATGTTGTTGGAAAATTTGATCTCAATCGGATAATAAATGCGACAGACGGAAGGACGGACGGAAATGCATAAATCGTCTCAGAATGTGATTCTATGTAGATCATCAAAAGGAACTATGGGTCTATCTCGTTTCCTTTTGCCTGTTACAAACAAATGCACAAAGACATAATACCCTGACCACCTTGTGGTGTAGGGTATAAAAAGAATACCTTTAAGCTATCATTTCTAGTTAAAAGACCAGCAAATTGTTTTCTTTAGGCCGAAGACTTTAAATAGGTCCTTCATAAATATGACACCTTCAGCAGTACTTCTGTAGACCGAAGATCTTCCAGAAGTCTTCTACAGACAGTACAACTTAACTTGTCTTCTATAAAGAGAAGACCATCAAATGGCCTTCTATAGACAGAAGTGATATGGATAGGAGACATTTGAAGATATTTTGTAGATTTCTAAATTTTACAAACCTTTCTTACAAGGGTAACTAGCTGGAATTCTTGTCAGTGCAGCTCTGAATATCAAGTAATTTCACAGCCCCTATTTTTATGTCAGTAGCAGTTTATCGGAGAGTGCATTTTTATCTTTTTTTTTTGTACAAAACATGTACATTTTATAAATAACATTTTTTAATTGTGCCTCGAGAACAATCATAATAATTTTTTATTCTATTTTTTTCCTCTTTGTTTTCTGTCTCTGACTTATCTAAGTTTTACGTAAAATGAAACTATTTTATGGCTTATCTTTATTTAAATAATAAAAATAATAAACTTACAAATCATAATGTTTTATTATTATTTCCTGTAGATGATTAGCGTTGGATTATTTGGCACATTCTTTTATATTATTATTTACAAAATTGTGTTTGTTGTTTTTTTGGTATTTTTTTTATAATAATACTTGTAAGTTAAAAATCAATGGAAATCAGTTATCAAAAGAGCCAATGTAGGAATTGCAATTTGGACAGGTATGGTTGGCAGTTTGACACGAATCCATGCAGTATGGCACACAGACACAAGGCCAGCAACTGGAAAATTAAAGAAAAAAAGAGATTATTATTAATATATTTAAAAATAATTTATAGAATTTTTTTGAATAAAGAAATGCAAAAAAAAAACAATCAAATAGAAATTCCCATAAAAATGGGGTGAACAGATTTAATACGCATCATAAAATAAACATCACATAACTCCTGATTTATATTGGAGCGTTTGTGTCTCTCATTTTCTGTCATGATTTAAACACAACAATGCAGGGTGAGATAAAAACCAGTAAAGAAAGTCTTAACGTCGGGCGGGGCCGACTTTATGATATCCTACACCACTTTGCTAATTTTGTAGAGCTCCACATAACAATTAAAAGTTTTTGTGGGAGAATTCAGTCATACAGGCTATGATTATAATTATACTTTAAAGTTCAAAGGAGTAAATATACCGAAGCATTTGTATCTTTTAAATTCGGAATTGTATTTCCCATTTTGTGCACAATTAATTTGAAATCGGATAAAGATATATATGGGAGCTATATCCAAATCTGAACCGATCTCGATAAAATTTGGCAAAAATATTTCTGAGCTGAATTTGATGTATTTCCCTGAATATCGTTGTTACGGAGTGCATATTACGGTTGTGGGTAACAAATACAACAAATCGGAAGAACAATATATATGGGAGCTATAGCTATATCTGAACCGATCTTCACCAAATTTGACATACTAGCTTCTAGACTCAATTCGGTCGTAAGTGCCAAATTCCATCCCATTTGGACACATATTAGACGTTTGGTGCACAATAAAAGGCAAATCGGACAAAGTTATATATATCCAAATCTGAACCGATCTCGATAAAATTTAGCAATTGTATTTCTGAGCTGTATTTGATATATTTCCCCAAATATTGTTGTTGCAGAGTGCATATTACGGCGGCGGTGGACAAAAATAACAAATCGGATGAACAATATATATGGGAGCTATATCCAAATCTGAACCGATTTCGATCAAATTTGGCACACATTTTTCTAGGCCTAACTTGGCTGCATATGCAAAATTCCATACAATTCGGGCTGATATTACACGTTTGGTGCACAATAAAAGGCAAATCGGATGAAGATATATATGGGAGCTATATCTAAATTTTGACCGATTATCTCCAATTTCAATAGGTCGCAATGAATGCGATCTGTACTTTGTTTACAAAAATACATGGACAGACGGACGGACGGACATGCATAAATCGACTCAGAATGTGATTCTATGCAGATCATCAAAAGGAACTATGGGTCTATCTTGTTTCTTTCTGCCTGTTACAAACAAATGCACAAAGACATAATACCCTGACCACCTTGTGGTGTAGGGTATAAAAAACTGCAACAAAGTCAAATACCATAATTTTTAATTTTATTGAATCGAAGCAAAAAATGTCCGAAGTAGCATCAAATTTTAGAATAAGTTTAGATTTGTTCGAATTGGTCACCTTTGGCACGAATTATGGCCTTCAAACCGTCACACGCCGCCCGAATGTTGCTCTGCGGTATTTTGGCCCATTCCCGGCGAAGCGATTGCTTGATGTGATCGACACTTTAGAATATATTAGTGTCAACCTTGCTTTTCAAAATAATCCAGAGACAATAGTCCAACGGATTGGTATCCTGAGATTTTGCTGGCCACTGTGCGCTGGTAATGAAGCGAGGAACCTCATTTTGTAACCATTCTTGCGATGGTTCTGAGTCCTGTTGGAATGTTCAAGGTCTGCGGCCAAAATGTTTGTATGCCCAAGAATATATAATACGCGATAATATTCGACATTTATTCTGATGCCAAGCGGTTAATAAAGCTGTTATGGCAGCCCACACCATCACCATGGCCGGTTTGAGGCTTGAGTTCTGGTGGCCAAGCGAAGGTGCACATTTTAAGCTGACCTCTTTGGCTGGACAACGAATGTTTTCTCATCGGAGAAAACTAAATTCCGCAGTTAACCACTTTCGACCAAGCGAAGCAACTCTTTAGCTCTTTTGAGTCTATTTTCTTTCAGTTGCACTTTTTGGAATTTCAATGGCTTATTATGCCCTTAGCCATATGGCTACAGAGGGTATATATCATTTCATACGGCCAAAACGTGCCTCATCGAAATAATGGTTCTAGACCCCAGGTCTCTTTGGACCAAATAAGTTTCAGGACATTTCAGGAGTCGATCTACCGATGTCCAGCCGTCCGTCTGTCTGGCTGATGCGCTTCATAACTCTCGAATGATGTATCCGATTTGATCCAAACTTGGTTGATCGTAGTATTATTATCAAACTTAGATCGACTTCGGAGATGGGGACTATCGGTCAACTCCTTCTGCTACCTCCTCCATAAAAGGTTGAAATTTTCAAAGAAAATATTTTACTGCACATTAACAGAACGGATAATCCGAGTTTGCTCCATCTTTGTAAATCCTAATATTTACTTCAGTGCTAGGTCAAGTGCGAAAATGCACAATATCGGTCCACTTATTCCGGTACCTCCCCCACAAAGGATAAAATTTTTTAATAATTATAACTCTTATAAAATGTGATCTAAGAGTTCGATTGTCTTCAAATTACACACATGACAATATTTTTATTAACCCAAGGTCTGTCCACTCCTTCTGGTACCTTCCCCGCAAAATGTCAAAATTTTGAATATCCATGAGGATCATAAGTCGCGAAATTAACAACCGATTCCATTTAGACTTGACACATCTCAATATTTTCATGAACACAAGATCTGTTATAAAGATGTTAGAGATCGCACCATTTCTTCTGGAACCTCCCCCACTCCTTTTGGTACCTCCCTCGCAAATTATCAAAATTTTGAATATCCATGAGGCTCATAAGTCGCGAAATTAGCAGCCAATTTGATTCAGACTTGGAACATCTCAATGTTTCGATCATCACAAGGTCTGTTATAAAGATAATAGGGATCGGACCATTTCTTCTGATACCTTTCGCACAAGGGTCAAAGTTTTAAATAACCAAAAACAATTATATAAAATCCGAAATAAGCATCTGGCTCTCTTCATTTTCCACACATTCTATTATTTCTACTATTTCTGCTGTGAAGATGGGATATATCGTTAGAATCCTTCTGGTACATCCCCCACGAAGGGTCAAAATTTTGAATATCCATGAAGCTCATAAGACGTGAAATAAAAATCCGATTCCATTCAGATTTGGTACATCACAATATTTCTGTCAACAGAAAATCTGTTATAAAGATATCGGATATAGATATCGGACCATTTCTTCTGGTATCTTCCCCACATAGGGTCAAAATTTTGAAAAATAAAATGATGTTTAAAGAAAGCGAAGTAAGCTTTTTTGATAGAACAGGATCTGTTGTACCTCACCCCAAAGGGTTACAATTCCAATTATTTTATCTGTCATAACTTGCGCAACAAGTCAGCGATTCTTTACAACTTGCTATATTTAAATATTTTTCTCACCCAGAAACCTGAGATGGAAGTTATGAATTCGCATAAAATTGGATATAAAGTTCGATTTTCTTGTATTTTTCACTCCGATATATTTATCTGTATTACAGGAAGTATGAAAATGAAATGGTTCGGTTGCTTATACCTGATACCTCACGCACATTTTCACATTTTCTAAAAATTATGACATATCTCATATAAATTGAAGGAAGTTACTAATAAAGTCCAAACATGTCACGTCGCAATATTTATATCACATTTATTTAGGTCCGATACTAATAGGTCAATATTGGCCCATTCCTGCGGAACCTATTCCAAAGAGGACCAATAATTTGAATGATCGTAACAGAAGTCAAAATATATTTAAATAGTCAAACATCGGCTGAGTGTATACATTTGTCGGCAAAACCGACAAAACCGACTTAAAATTATCAAAAAAAAAAAAAAAAAAAATAAATAAATAAATAAATAAATAAATAAAATTCAAAGCTGGAAAGTTATTTTCAAATTCTCTTAAGAATTCATATCTCATTATTTTGCCCATCTATGCAATTGATAATTCTCCCAATTGCCATTTTTTGATGAGAGAGGAGAGGAGAGAGAAACTTTATTTCTTAACAACCTCTCGTATCTAAAAACTGACATTTGTGAAATTTTTAACTACCTAATATAAATTTGGATGAATATCAGTATCCAATTCAAAATTTTAAATAGCTTTATCTTGTATTTTTTGTTCTTGGCTAATGCTGTTGAGTTGTAATATTTTCGTATTAATATTAGCCGGTTTTACTTAACACACTTTTGGTCAAAATGCTATAAACGGCTTACTCATGTCTTTATGCCCCTTCTAGAGTTCATTGGTCGTCAGTGTAAACAATTTTCTGTTACTGGTTTTGTCTTTAATCTGAATGACGAATGCATTTGTCGTTGACGAAGTTGTTTATGACACTCAGCTGCAGTTGTCATGTGATGATGTGGAGAGACCCTACTTACATACATACATACATATATATACAAGGGTTATAATAGTAGATTTTATTGAGAGTTTTTCGGGGGAGAAACTGAAGAAGATATCGGGTTTATAATTGTGGATTCTTTTTTTACCCTCCACCATAGTATGGAGGGTATATTAAGTTTGTAACACCTCGAAATATACATTTTAGACCCCACAAAGTATATATACGGGGTGAGATGAAAAAACTGCAACCACTTTCTGACTGCTGTCATTTCTAAGCCATTCATTCGACATCTGTTAAAATAATTCCAGTGACAGCTCATTAAATTGTTTACAAGTGTACAAAAGCATTTTGATGAGAATTTTCCAGAAAAAAAGTTATTTGTTAGGGAATTCAAGCCTGATAGTGCGATTTTTTTATATTTGTCTGGAAAACAACAGGCGGCTATCGTTAGAGCACTCTAGCATTTAAATGTGAAAAAATCTTTTGGGTCTCGTACCATCGCTCGTAACCGTGATACAGGTAGTGTAGCCCGACGACAAGGAAGTGGACGAAAAAAAAAAATAGCAACATCAGCAGAAATGGTTCAATAACGGTACCTCCCGATATTCGGTATTGAT